TGTGAGTCGAGACGGGAGAGAAGGGAGTTGCAGTAATCGAGGCGGGAGAAGATGAGGGCGTTTATGACTTCATGGAGATCGGGAGGAGTGAGAATGTTTTTTATCTTTGAGATGGTGCGGAGGTGAAAGAAGCAGGATTGGGTCGTTTTATTGATGTGGGAGCGGAAGGTGAGGTGAGAATAAAAAATGACACCGAGGTTACATAGTTTACATACATTAGTTTCTCATCATACATAGTTCACATACATCAGTTTCTCATCATACATAGTTCACTTACATCAGTTTCTCATCATACATAGATCACATACATCATAAATAGTCAGGTGCCCTGGGTTACGGTCTCAGAGCACACCTCAGTGTTTGTTTGAGCAGCTTTGGTTGCTCCATCACCACTTTTTAAGTTCTACTGTAAATGTTGAATAGTCTGTTTGACTCTTCAGTTCTGTAGTGAGCTTGTTCCATTCCTTTATTGCTTTATATGAAAATGCTGATCGTGCAAAAGCAGTTTTACACCTACACTGCCCCCTGGTGGAGGCTTGTGTGGTTCTACTTGTCGCAGCAGATGAGAACTGAACGAAGTGTTTGAGTGGAGCTGTACCTATAGACCATATACATGCGCAGGATCATACTGTGCTTGTTGTGTGCGTGTTCACAATTCACGCAATAAATACAGCGCTGCAAGAAACAGTCCGTGTCTTCCTTGCGTCTCTTCCCAAAGCGCAACTAAACTCGCTAAACGTAAAATTTCCTCTTACATTAACAGTTAATTTTGGTTGTGCCCAAGTAAATGTTGGCCCAAAGTAAAATGTTGCGAACAAATCTAACAGATTCAATGACAGCCATTGACTAACATTATACATTTCAGGCTTCTTTGAAATGTCGCTCATCCCCGTAACAAACAATATGGTGCTATGTCCATTTCCCTCACTCACCCCATGACATGTTTATTACTCTCAGTGTAGATCATTGCACTTTATTATAATTGTCGAAACTGCAGACATCCTGAGCCTCTACAGTATATGCTGTAGCATACTGTAAAAATAACTGTAAAGTACTTCTAGACATCTTCTATGGAGGCCATTTTTTAATGAAAGAACGACAGAAACTGAAGTAAGATACAAGAGATATACAAATAAATTAACCAGCATTTTAAAGCTAAGCCGAGAAGATTACTGCACACATTTACAAATCACTAAAGAAAATTATATTAAATTTTTTCTCAGTGGCTTTGTGCATTTCTCATTCTTCACATTTGCACAACAGTTTGTGCATTTCTCAGAACAATTAGTACAAAGTGCAAAACCTCGTGGAAAACCTGCTGTAATTGGAATGTTTTTAGTTATAATTTTAATGTAGTAATATGTGGCTAAAATATATTGTATTCACCGTTAGCTCCAGCCAGTCTTCTGGGCAACAGGGGTTGTCTGCAGATGAGACTGTCACTGTTTCTTTGATTGATGGTAAATACCAAAGGTCTCATTGTGAAGCTGTGACTGTGTGGAAGTGGAGCTGTGTCTTATCTCCTGCTTTGCAGCCTGACTAAGGCAGACATGTTTTGGATGCGAGGCTGAGCTGAGCTTGTAACACTCAGCCCCTCGGAGCGCGCACTACAAAATACATCGAGGTAACTGTGACGCTTTATACCCGCTGTGATTGACCTAACGCTGACCAAAGAAAAACAACCACTCATTAATCTGCTGTGTGTAACGTGTACTCCATTTACTCAGTCCAAAACAAGCAATAATCATGAACAATATGAAAGACTTAGTCCTACCCGCGCCCACCGTATGTCCCACTGTCAAACCTGGTGACGAGTACGTGGCTCCGGTGATAGTCAGTGTAGTTCAAAAGGCAAATCCAAGAGATGACAAAACGATGTAGGTAATCCAAACAGAACGAGAAAGTAATCCAACTGGGAAAGTAATCCAAAACGTTCAGAGTGTGGGCAGAGCGCAGTGAGTGAGTGCGCTCTCCCTCTCCAGCGTATAAAGTTTATAAACCAAACGCGCACAGGCCGTGCGTGAGCGGCAACCGGGCTCTCCTGGCGGGTCCGTCTCGAGGGTCTGTACAGTCCGCTACAATAATCCCCTCACCGATCTCCGACTCAAGTCTCTCGTGGTCTCCTCCAGCCGTGTCCAAAACCAAAAACTCCCCTGTCTCTCCCCCGCGCACCTGATGGCAGGTCTCTGATGAGCGCTCCCTCCCGGGACACGCCCCCCCAGTTCATTCGCAAAACAGACCTGTCCCATTAGGCCCAAAACATAAACAAATATACCTAAACACACATTAACACATTTTAAACATTTGTGGCTATGCTACAGAGTCCCCCCCTCCAGCCAGAGGCTACTAGTTGACCATATAACACATTTTAAGATTCACCACATTGACCACGTCCTGCTTACTGGGCAACTCCTCCCATTTGACCAGATAGTTCACAGGCCCCAACTTCCTGACTATGGAGGCTGGCCCGTCCCATCTCGGAGCTAACTTGGCAGAGAACTTCTCACTAGCCTTGGAGAGTGGATGCGCCCGAACCCAGACTTTGTCACCTGCCTCAAACTGCACCTCTTTCCTTCGAGAGTTGTAGTATTTAGCCTGGCGAACCTGGTGTACCCCCATCCTTTTCCTTACCTCTTCCCCTAGTTTTTGTTGTCGCTCAACCGCATCATAAGAGTCTTTTTGCTCAGGGCTGGGTGGTTTGTGAATGAGTCTTTGTAACGGACCATGAAGCAGCCGACCCAGAGCCAGCTCTGCCGGAGTCCTGCCAGTAGTTTCTTGCTGAGCAGTGTTGATAGCGAAACGAATCTCTGGTAGCCACTGGTCCCACATCTCATGGGAGGGCCCTACGAAGGATGCGATCATGGTTTTGATGGTCCGATTGAACCGTTCAGTGAGGTTAGTTTGAGGGTGGTAACTGGTGGTGAGTTTCTGTATCACCCCCCATGCTTTGCAGAGGTCAGTCAAGAGGCCAGCAGTAAATTGTGGACCTCGGTCCGAGACGAGAAATTTGGGAACCCCCCAACGAGTGAAGATCTCCTCTCGCAGGATCTTAATGATACGGGGAGTTTTGCTATCCCGTAGTGGGAATACCTCCACCCATTTTGAATAGTAATCAACCACCACCACGGTAACAGTTTCCCTTTTTGCTTCGGGGAAATGGGCCCATCAGGTCGATGCCCAGCATCTCTCCTGGAGCAGTCACCTGTGTGGACTGGAGATATCCATGCGGTTTGGTGTTCTCTGGTTTATAACGCTGGCAGCTCTCACAGGACTTTGTGTGTTCCCATACATCTTTGCGTACAGTAGGCCACCAGGCAACCTCCAACACCCTCAGTAGGGTCTTCAGCCGTCCTAGATGCCCACCTAGAGGGTTATCATGGAAATACTGGAGGAACTCTGGGGCTAGGACTTGAGGGACGACAAGCTGGTACTTTTCTCCACCGTCTATTGGAACCTGGCGATAGATCACACCTTGGTGGTTAACAAAAGTGATCCGGTTGGGTTTGGCCTGTCCTGCTTTATTGAGTGTCAGGTCATGGATAAACGGGTCTTGTGTCTGTGCTTTGGCAATCTCGTCTAAGGTGGTTGGCAGGTTTTTGCTGTGTTTCCATCCAGCGAGTGCTAAACAGTGAGTGTTCTGGGATTGTTTCTCACAGGATCGTGACAGTGCGTCTGGTGCAGTGTTGAGGCACCCTTTGCGATAGTGCACTCTGAAGGTGAACTGTTGCAATCGCAGGATCCAGCGTGTCAGACGGGAAGAAGTTTTTGGGCAATTGAAAGCCCAGGCCAGAGCAGCATGGTCAGTGAAGACATCGAAATGGATGCCCTCCAGATAGTGCCTCCACTTCTCTATGGCCCATACCACTGCCAGGCACTCCTTCTCTGATGTAGAATAGTTCTTTTCAGGGCCTCGAAGCATCCGTGAAGCATAGGCTACCACCCTCTCTCCCTCAGGAAAGGGCTGTGAGAGTATGGCTCCCAGCCCAGCCTCACTGGCATCCGTGTGAACTTGGAATGGCAGATTTTGGTTTGGTTGTGCCAGAACAGGTGGGTTGTTGAGAGCCTGCTTGAGGGCCGTGAAACTGGCTTGGCATTCAGAAGTCCATTTCCATTCCACCCCCTTCTTCTTGAGATGGTTCAATGGGGCGGCCATGTCCGCGAAGCCCAGAATGAATTTGTGGTACCAGCCCGCGAGCCCCAGAAAACGCTGCAGTTCTTTAATGTCCTGTGGCACGGGGAACTCTGACACTGCTTTGGTTTTGGATGGATCCACCTCCACACCCCGAGAGGACACGATATGTCCCAAGAACTTTAGTTCTCTCTTGAAGAACTGACACTTCTTCATGTTCAGGCTGAGATTGGCTGCCTGTAGCTTTTGGAAGACAGAGTTCAGGTCTCTAGAATGTTGTTCACGGGACGTAGAGTATACAATGATATCGTCAATGTAAACAAAGCACATCCTGCCTCTCAGCTCTCCCAACACTTTCTCCATCAATCTTTGAAAGGTGGCTGCCGCGTTCCGCAAACCGAAGGGCATGCGTTTGAACTGGAAGAGTCCCAGAGTCGTGATGAAAGCTGTCTTTTGTTTGCTGTTTTCATCCATGGCTATCTGCCAATACCCCGACTGTAGGTCCAAGGCGCTGAACCATGTCGCACCCTCTAGTGACTCGAGGATCTCATGGATGATTGGCATGGGGTAAGCGTCTGGGAGGGTTTTAGCATTAACCTTGCGAAAGTCTATACAGAATCGCTCCCGGCCATCAGGACGATCGACCATGACCACGGGTGAGGACCAAGATGACTGAGACGGCTCTATGATGTCCTCGTCCAGCATTTTCTCGACATGCTCTTCAATGATTCCCTTTTTGAGGGGAGATACCCTGTAAGCTCGAGATTTAACTGGCACCTCATCCTGGGTGTAAATTGTGTGTTTTTCCACTGTGGTCTTGCCGAGCACACTGGAAGTCACTGTGGGCCAGGCATTAATGAGTTGAGAAAGTTCATTGGGCTGGTCGACAGAGACAGAGTTCATCATGAGCGGATACGAGGTCCAGCATGGCAGGAATCTGCCCGGTTGGGGTGCGTAATATAAATGCACCCTCGGAACAGTTCTCGTCCATGGACCCGGTCTTGTGGGCGGCAGAAGGAAGGGATGGAAAACATAACCATTTGCTGTTTGTAATCCATAAACGCGTTTAGCCAGGTCTAGGATAACCCCAGCATCAGTCAGAAAATCCAGTCCGATTATCATGGGAAAAGCGAGATGTCTGTCGTCCATAACATGCGCCTCGACACTCAGCTTTCGACCATGCCAGTCCAGTCCGAAGCGTTGTTTTCCCAGGGCAACATGCGCGGTTCCATCCGCCATGACAAACCTCTGGTCCTCTGATGGAATCAAGTCTCTTGAGGTGCCATGGAGGTTCCTCCATAGACCCTCTCGCATGAGCGTGTAGGTACTTCCGGTATCCACCACAGCTACTCCCTGGACATTGCATATGGTAAGAGGAACCAACAGCAGCTCTGCTCTCGGCATTTGGGGCGGTGGAGGTTGGGTGACAACTGCATTGAATTTATTCCCGCCTCTTTTTTCTAGGGCCCTTTTCCCAGTTCCCTCGGTGGAGGCATGCACTTTCTGCCAATAGCCTTTAGCGCTACCACAGTCTTTCTCCACCATGGACCCCACTTTCACCAGGTCTGTGACCGTATGGACAGTTCCTCTCAAACACCCCGCTACTTTTGGATTTGTGTTGTTAAGTATGCGTCTCACGATTTCTTCCTCGGGCATATCCGGTTTCCATTTGAGACACAGGGCCTTGTAATCATAAGCGAAGTCCCGCAGACGTTGGTCGGGCTGCTGCACCAGCTCCCTCAGCTTTTCCTCCACTTCCGCCATATAGTCCGTGGGAAGGAATGCGTTCAAAAATGTCTCTTTAAACATACTCCAATCAAGCACCTGGCCTTTTGCAGCTTTCCACCAGCTTAGCGCAGGTCCCCTCAACACGGAGGATAATGTCCCCATCAGTTCTGGTACCGAGAGTGGGCGTAACTCCAAAAAGTTCTCTGCTTGTTCCACAAAACTCAACACGTCCGCGGTTTCACAACTAGGTCCAAATGTGGGGAAATCCAAACGGACTGGAGGCTTGAAGTAGAACGGGGATACATCAGGCATACTAAAGGTGGCATTAAGGGGAGGGGGACCACCCATGTCAGTGGATACAGCAATGGTTCTCTGATTAATAGGGGTACTAGTGGGACGCAAAGTACTAATCTCTCTTTGCCACTTCTCATCCCTCCTCTTTAAACAGCTAACCATGTTCTTCTCTAACACCTCTATCTTGTCCTGGAATTCCTGTTCCATTTTTGCCAAAGCCCTTTCAACACTCTCCCTAAAGGATGCTTCTCTGTTGAGAGAACTAGACACAGACTCTCTGTGAGTAGTCTCCAGAGCTCCTAGGTGACATTCCAAAACCCTCATTCTGTTCTGCATACTGTCCCAGTCAGTTTGGGAAATGTCCACTCTATTCTCCCTCTGCACCACTACAGGAGTTAAGAGGCTCCAACAGCCCTCTCCCAAGAGCTCCCAAAGCCTCCTCCCCATTCTGACTAGTATGGTCGGAATTTTCCTCATTAACTCTGTCCTGTGAGTGAGCCCGTTCTATTCTGTCATCTCCATTCAGACTGACGTCTCCATCATGAAGATACAGTGAGTCTAACAGTGACTCGATATCCCCCGTAGGATTTCTGCGAGCTACGAACGGCCCTGCGGTAAAGTCTGGGTTGTCCTGATCTGCGCTCTCCTGATCCCCCATGTCAATGTAACACACCCACACACACACCCGAGTGGTATATAAAAAAAAAACAAGCGTTTACAAATGTCCAAATCACAGACAAAATCACAAGTCCTCGTACGGGCCACCATATGTAACACTCAGCCCCTCGGAGCGCGCACTACAAAATACATCGAGGTAACTGTGACGCTTTATACCTGCTGCGATTGACCTAACGCTGACCAAAGAAAAACAACCACTCATTAATCTGCTGTGTGTAACGTGTACTCCATTTACTCAGTCCAAAACAAGCAATAATCATGAACAATATGAAAGACTTAGTCCTACCCGCGCCCACCGTAAAAGGCCCAAAGTGAAGCTGCAATGAGTGTGACGTGGAGATGGAGCTACTGAATAGATAGAAAACTGATCATTCATATACATTGGCATAGAACCAAAGCAGCAAAGATAGCTGTAAGGGACAACATCCATTTATTTGCATGGGAATAGTGTTTCTATATTTTCTTTCTGATACATAATAGTGGACTAAAAAACAATGAATTCGAACACGGCCCTGCACCTTTCTCATCTCCCCGTCATATAGAAACTTCAGGAAACTTAGGCCCTGTCCACACGAAGTCAAGCTCAGGCCTAAACGCAAAAATACTTTATCAATCCAGTGTATCGTCCATACGAGGCCGGCGTTTTGGGGGGGTGTAAACGAACATTTTTGAAACTAGGTCCCAGAGTGGAAAGATTTCAAAACTCCGTATATGCCGCTCCGCGGTTACTGCCTCTCCGCAATGTATCTGAGACGCTTGCGTCATCGCCCCGCCTCTTGTTAAAGCACGCATGCGCCGCACTCAGAAAATAATGACAACAACAATGTAGCTTGTTGTTTTGTAATCCAGTGCGACCCGAAGCAACAGTTCAACCTCATCGTCCGTCCATACTAATGTAGTACCAGCTCGCCCACTCGCCATGTTGTCTGTTTACAAAATTCCGCGCATGCCCAGTTCCCGTCACGGAAGTTTGGGCTTGATCCCGTCATTGCGTCACAGCGCCACCAACAGGTCTGGCATAGTTTCACAGCGTTTTCAGGCGTATTGACTACATTCATATGGACGCACACATTTACTGAGCTAACTCCGTGTTTACAGAAAAAGTTTCTGAAATTATAAGCGTTTTGTCTTCGTGTGGATATAGCCTTAGTTCACAGCTAATTACGACCACTCAGTTTTTTTGTCCCAGAGACTAAATGTGTCCAAAATAACACAGGAAAGTCCATTAAGGAAGAAGAAGTCGAGGATCTCAGCACCATACAACTGGCACGTGTGGTTTGTTTGTATCCGCGGGTGGAAATCTCGCAAAATCTCGCACTTCCGCTTTCCAGCCCTATTACCCGGCCCATGGTTCAAAGGCTTGACGTGAATCATGCTCCACTACGCCAACATGTGGACAAAAAAATAAATAACACTCTTAAAGTAGTACTAGAATTTAATATGCTGCTATCCAGAATATATAACTACAATATGTGTTTATAATATTTCGGGTGTTCATTTTGACATGTTCAGATGAATTATGTTAAAAAAACTGCTCTGAAGTGGCCCTTTTTCACTTCCGCATAGAAACGCTAGGGGGGGGCAAAATGGCGGCGATGACGTAGGAGAAGCGCATCTCACAGCAGCAGACAGCAGTCTGGGCTGGAAACTGTAGTAGGTTTCACTGTCATCTGAACAAGGTATAAACATATTTTCATCCGTTTTGTACATAATAGTGCACAACTCTTTTAACCTTTTAGCCTCATTTGTGAGATTCAAGCTAATTAGTGTTGGGAAAGTTAGCTAACTCTACTTGATATCATAAAACATGCTAACAAGGCTAATATTCGTTTTCACATTATGCCAGTCTCACTTCGGTTGCCTTAGATTTATTTACCACAATGTACATTGTAATATTCAAAAATGCTAACACCTATTAACGGTTTAATTAGCATTTTTATCAATGATTGCATCACATGTAGTCTATGTTTTCAACTTCTGCAGCTTTTTGTTCATAAAAGTAAAATATTTATTTAATTCAAGTTATTTTGATTAGCATGTATGGATATTACAATGTACATTGTGGTAAATAAATCTAAGGCAACCAAAGTGAGACTGGCATAATGTAAAAACGAATATTAGCCTTGTTAGCAACCCTTTGTAACCCTTAGCAACCCTTTCTAACCCTTTGAGTAAAAGCTTTCCACACTTTTCACAGACAAATGGTTTCTCTCCAGTGTGGATCCTCTGATGAACTTTGAGATGACCACTCTGAGAAAAACTCTGATCACAAACATCACAGCTGAAGGGTTTCTCTCCAGTGTGGCTCCGATGGTGAACTGTGCGCTCTGCTGCTGTTTTAAAAGTTTTACTGCAGAAGTCAGATGCAAAAGGCTTCTCTCCAGTGTGGATTCTCTCATGACTTTTGTAGTGTGAAGACTGAGTAAACGTCTTCCCACAGTCTCCACAGACGAATGCTAATCAAAATAACTTGAATTAAATATGGATATTTATGGATATTACAATGTACATTGTGGTAAATAAATCTAAGGCAACCACAGTGAGACTGGCATAATATAAAAACGAATATTAGCCTTGTTAGCATGTTTTATAATATCAAGTAGAGTTAGCTAACTTGCCCAACACTAATTAGCTTGAATCTCACAAATAAGGCTAAAAGGTTAAAAGAGTTGCACACTATTATGTACAAAACTGATGAAAATATGTTTATACCTTGTTCAGATGACAGTGAAACCTACAGTTTCCAGCAAAGACTGCTGTCTGCTGCTGTGAGATGTCCTTCTACGTCATTGCCGCCATTTTGGCGCCCCCTAGCGTTTCTATGCGGAAGTGAAAAGGTGCCACTTCAAAGCCGTTTTTTTAACATAATTCATCCGAACATGTCAAAATGAACACCCGAAATATTATAAACACATATTGTAGTTATATATTTTGGATAGCAGCATATTAAATTCTAGTACTACTTTAAGGACACAATACAACACAGTCCATAGTTAAAAAGATAATATCCAATACACACAGTATATTGCATATTGAAAAAAATATATACAGTACAGAAAAACAAAACAAAAAAGAGAACATTACAGCTGCTGTACAGTATAAAGGCATGACCTCCGGTAAGTCCATTATTTGGAGGGGAACAGCAGTAAGCAAAACTCGGGGCTGACCAGAGTCTTAACAATTACATTAATAGAGTTCCTCAGACGACACATGAATCTGAACTGAAAATTACGAATAGAAGCAGAACAGGAGCGGACACCACAGAAAGCAAACATCTCACTCGCAATTCTGAGCCAAGGAACCTTCAGCAGCAGCCTCAAGGAGTTGCTATAGGCCACACTGAGTTTCTGCAAACTGGACTTTTTAAAACTCCCCCAAAGGTGAGCAGTGTACATAGGTGAGCAGTAAGATTTAAATAGTTACCTTAACCTCAGGAGAGCACATACTAAACTTACGTATAGCAGCATATTTGATTGGCCATATAACTGACACAGCTGCCTGTGCATGTCTTTGTCATCAGAAAGGTTACTGGTGATGTAGTGACCGAGGTATTTCACCTTCAAAATGTTCTCGGAGAGGAAAAAAATCAGGAAAACATAATTTACTGTAATCTTTAGTACGTGCCATCATTACAAGACTTTTTGCAGTGTTATATTTGATATAATGATCCAAACTATATTGCAACACATAGAATGATACTAACCTGCTCTTTTAATTTTTCCAACACATATTGCAACTCATGTCCTCAGGTATCTTATGTTCGGTTTCACAGATCAACACGTAGGATGGATATTTGGTCTTGAGTTGTCAACCACAACAGTCCTCATTTCCATCATTCTGAAACTGACCTCCAGCTTGATTCAAAACTACTGGAAATCAGGAATGTTCAGCAAAGGAGTTTAATTTAAAACACTGTGTCTTCCCAGGCCCAAGCATATTTAGTCTCGGAGGAGCTGTTGCAGGCGGAGGTGTCTGAAAGCCTGGGGAAGCTGAAGATAAGCCTGGAGCTCTGCCACATGTTCAGAAAGACATATGAGGAACGCAGAGCAAACCTGAGCCAGTATCAGAGGAACGGAAATACGGTTCCTCCCTGGGACTTCTCCCCTCAGCTGGTCTTCAGCCGCCTGGATCTGTTCACACAGAGACTCGTCATGGTCAAGGTAAAAGTAGACACAGCTACACTGCAAAAAATAATTAAATATGATGTCCAAAGTAAAATGCTTTATGCTTCATTAGCATTTTTCAAATGGCATTCCTCCAGTGGATTTTTGCCTGATCCGCTTGGTTAGGACCATGAATCCTCTCCGCTCTAGTCTGGATCAGTGCAAAACCATGAACATGTAGTCTGTTGCCTAGTCAAATTAATTGGCAAATCTTGTTTAAGGCAATCAAAATGTGCTCAAATTACGATATATTTGGCATATTCTTTATCAGCGTAAATACATACAGAGCCGCTGGGCTGACTTTACTATCTCAATAAAACTGCTTACAATCAAATCCTTTGCTTTGTTCATTGAGGAGTCACATTTTTGTCATAGTTTTCATTTTTACTTCCTGTTCTCAAGTGTCTTTTTTGAGTTTTACTTCCTGTTCTGTTGATTGCCCTGATGTGTTACACCTGTGTCTTTCGGTTAAATTCCCTGTGCCTTTTCCCTCTTGTTGTCAGTTTATTGCCGTTTGTTCATCAGATCTAGTCTTCGTCCTCAGTTTCTCTTTGGATTCTTGTTTACTAAGTTATATTATTTTTTTGCAGTAATCCATTTTGGCGACTCCATCTTTTTGAAACGTGAACATTTTGTTCTAAAACCCCAAATAAAATGGAGCAAACGATCACAGTATACTAACATAATCAAATCAATGAATGAAAACACCAAAATCTAAATAAAAATAAAGAAAGAGAAAATATAATAATCAATTCAGTTAAAGCATGAAAGATGTTGCCAGGGACCACTCCACTGACACATGGCTGGATGTTAAATTGTTGATGTTAAAAAGTTGTGGCAGGATAAATGTAATTTGTTAGGTTTTTTTACTTATTGTTATTTCAGTGTCATTTTGATGACTGTCATGGTTTAGATTTCTTTGTTTTATTTTGTAATGTATGTTGTTCCTTAGTTCTACTTTCTGTTACTGACCTACCCTGCCCTCATGTGTATCAAATGTGTCTTGTTTGTGTTGTGTTTTCTTTGATTAAATGCTTTAATTTTTATTTTTTTTGCAGCCCTGCGTTTTGTATTTTTTTCATTTTGCCTTGTGACATCCAGTGCATGATTAAGTGGTTCTGATGAGAATGTGTCAAAACTTTATCCCCAAAACAATACCAGATCCAGAAAACTAATTGGGACGACCAATACTTTAACCGGTTGTGGCCATCCCTGACTGGTACATGTCAATTTCTGTAGGAAGTGCTGGAAACTGTTGTTGACCTGTTCAAACTGGAGAAGCTGGAGATCGGAGGAGTGAAAGGACACATCCTGAGCCAACATGTCCAAATACTGCACCAGAACTTTGTTGAAGTCTACAAGAACTTTGTAAATAAGTCCTCTGCATGTTTGGACCTCACAAATAAGGTAGGCAACACTTCTGTTGAATGCTATGTCTGTCGTCATGAGGAAATAACTTGCTGCCTCTGCTGTGGAAAGGTGTGTAGGGTATGTCGTTGTCAAACCGGCCAGCCTTCCTTCTCATGTTTAATACTCAGTTCAGTTCAGTCTTTATTTGAAAGGGACAGTGCAGATGAACATTAAGCTCAAAGACAGATATGTTCTGCACTAGATTATAGCTAGCCTGGTCGTACCACACCATAGTACAAATGACATTTTGTACTAAGGTCTGGAGGTGCTCCATTGAGCTCCGTTAACAGGTGGGAGGGGTTAACTCCTTTTGCAGATTGAAACAATTGGATCTGCGTTTACCGTGACTTAGTGCGCCCGAGTCTGTTGTTAGCATTTAGCATTTAGCCTAGCCATCTCCTTTGCCGCTAACAGAGCCCGTGGGGAGTAGCGCCACAATTTTTTCCAGCGATTACATTTGCTAAACATTACTCTTGCTCCGGCTTCAATTTCTTGATAGAACCAGACTGGATTACTTTACTATTGCATTTTTCGCCATTGTCAAACTACAACCTGCCTGTTCGACGCAAACTCTTGACATCACCCACAACTAACTACAACACCTGCCTTCCATGCTCTCTGAATGGTCGGTCGAAATTCAACCAGGGACTAGACCCAGACGTTACATGCAGTGAAATGATGATTGAACGGCGTGTACGGATGGCTAAGGCCAGGCTAGATTATAGCTACACAGCTAATTTATTTTTGCAGTCCCTGGTTACATGTAAAAAAATAATATAAAATAATACATAATGATACCATAAAGTAACCATACAATAACATAAACAAAACCTCACACTTAACCCTCACAGACAATATATCTCTCATTCGCTTGTATTTTGGGCTGATGAGCACTAACCTGTGCGTATCTTAAATCCGCCCCTTCGAATGCTTTTCCACTTCAAAGGTATGTGTGGGGATTCTCTGAAGGGAGAGGGAGATAGTGCAGACAGAGAAACATAAGTTTTGGAACACAGTGAAACATTTTGTAAAATATATTATATTGTAAAACAGATTCCATTGGCCTGTGTGTGCAGGACTTTGATGCTGATGTGAGTACATTTCAACTCCTTGTGGAGGACACAGACCGACGTCTTGGAGCAATTTTCTGCCAGGCCTTTGACAGTAACCCTGGACTGGAGCATGCCTTTAAGGTGGCCACTCTGTTTTATGTGTCTTTCATAATCCCAACTCTAGGTCACGTTTACAAGTATTTTTACTGTATTGTATTGATGGTATCCCATGGTCCTTCTGATCTTAGCCATGTATTGTATCGTACCGTTGGAGGCAAAGTATTATTATAGGCCGAGCTAAAGTGTCTAAATGGTTTGGAATGTCTTCTATCTGATCTGCAGGTAGTGGACTTGTTTGGGAGCCTATGTGAACGCTCCCTAGTGGCTGCAGATGCTGTGTCCAGATATCCCATACTGTTGTCTATGTTTGACCAAGAACTGGACAACACCAGGGTTTTGTACAGAAGACACATACAGGCTGCTGACCAACGAGGTGAGAGGACTATCACACCAAGTACAGATGACACATTTCTCTATTTACCTTCCTTTTAAATACACGCATTATAATTTATACTTTATTTGCATTCATTTCACTCCTTAAACATGATATTAAACATTTACTATCAAACTTTTATTGACATTTATTGTTTGAGAAGGCTGCTCACCCAACACCTCCATTTACTGTTGTGATTTTCCCCAATGCGGGAAAACGGCAGGCTAATAAGGCTGAACTCAAACCCAATAATCTTTAACCCTAAGACCAAAACTACTAGAATTTTCACAGCCCTTATTTTGACTATCCTCATCAAACCAATAGAATTCTCAGAAATCCCCCCAAAACTTTTGAAGTGCTAGAACTGGTGAATATAACTTGAATTACAACAATGGCTAACTGCTAACAGCAAACGGTATGTTGCTATGGTAACTAGTACAAGCTCTTCTATAGGAGTTAAGGGTGGAACTCCTCACATTTCTAAAATTAAAGATTATTTATTCAAAACAATGACATAAACTTCATATAGAAACAGACAAAGTTATAAAGTTCTGAAGACCAGAAATGTACATCAGCGGAGTTATTACTCTTCCAAAACTAAAAGACGTCCAATTGACTGCTCTGGGAGTTTGAGCACTACGGACGCCTGATAGTCATGAGGAAATCTCATAGATATTCCTGCTGTGGGTGGTGTGTAAAGACTGCTCTCATCTGCCTGAAGGTCGTCGGGACTGCTCCAGTCTCAAATCGAGGAACTTCATGTTGGGTGTTTTTTGCTCGATGTCTCGTCATGTGTTGTCTCCCAGGCACAAGCTTGTTGACCTTCACATGTCTCCACTCCTTTTGAGTTATAAAAAATATACAAACTTTGCTTTTGGCTCATTAAAACACAAGACATTCATACTATTGTAACAGTTTATGTGAGGATGTTTCTACTATTGTAATACAAATGACCTGAAATGATAACTGTCATATTTGAAAAGATTAATGGTAAAACCGTTATGCTAGGTAATATAAGTTTGGTCACCACTGCTGGAATGGTATACATATTGTAGTGTGAAACTATTAGTTGATATGTTTTTTTTAATCTTGAATAGCTTGTTATACATAAATGTTTACTAATATAGACTAATATGTCAAGCAAGGATTTGGGTCAATGTTCCTCATCAGTGTATTTATCAATAAACTAGACATATAAATTAATATATAAAAACATATACGGCTATTTTGGTTATTATTTGATGTTGAAACTTTCCTAAAATGCCTGTAGGCTATGCTTCAATAGAAAAAAAGCACCTTTTGAGTAAACAAACCCAATCACTTCCACCTCCATTTTAGTTGACTCCAAAAATTGTGTTTGTTCTCGAGAGGTTTTGTGAGATTTCCCGTCTGACCTGGGAATGTTCGTGAGTGAAAATGGTTCGCACAATGTACAGCAGCTGTGATTTATTATAATGCAGCCAGCGAAAGTTCAATTTGGTAGACGTCAGCCAAAGGTAACCCCTCCAGGCCGGTTCTCATCCCCAGCCTATCGCGCTGCAAACGCCCCTTCCAATCACCGCACCGGCCAGGCAAGCCGCTTACAGTAAAAGCGGAGAAACTCCCACTCTCTGCCTTCTCGAAGCCTTGCATGAATCGTTCTGGAGGAATCGCTTTGTCTACTCACGCTTACTCCTGCGGTCCCTGCTGTCCTCTGTCTTGCTGCGTGTGGTCTGCTCTTCCTCCGCGTCGCTGCACCTGCTGCGGGTCTCGTGCTGTGGTCCGTGGGTCTTTGCCGCTCTCCTCCTTTGCGGGCTCTTTCTGCGGGTTCGCCGCTGCTCGTCTCGTCGCGGCCTGCGACTTGAATCCCTCACTTGGACTGCGAGCTCCCAGGTTAATCCCGCACGGATCTGTTATATCTGGAACTGCTTATATCTGGAGCTGTTATACCGTACCCGGAACTGCTTCATGCGGAACTGCTATATATTTTGAACTGCTTATATATGGAACTGCTATATATGGAACTGCTTATATATGGAACTGCTATATAGGGAACTGCTATATATGGGACTGCTATATATGGAACTGCTATATATGGAACTGCTTATATATGGAACGGCTTTCTACACGGAACTGCTTATATGGAACTGCTCATATTGGAACTGCATATATGGTACTGCTTATATCTGGAACGCTCATATATAAAAAAAATAAAAAATAAATATAAATAAATATAAATAAATGTAAATGTGAATAAATATAAATATAAATAGATATAAATAAAAAATAAAAAACTGCAGGCTCTGTTGGATCCCTCCCATCGTTTAACTCCCTCACACCGGACTGCAGGCTCTCCGTTAAACGCCTCACTTGGTCTGCGGGCTCAGTTTTAATACCTCACTTTGGACTGCAAGCTCTATTTAAATCCCTCACATTAGACTGCAGGCTCTGTTTAGGTCCCTCGGCGTCTCGTGTCCCGCAACCTCTTCCCGGCTCTCCGTGAGCCCCAAGTCGGCACGCGGCTCGGGCGCGGGAGGTGTCCGTGGGCTACGTCATTGGCCCCTTCTCTCCGTCTCGCTCTAACCCGATGGGCATCGCCACCCGCAAGCACTCCAGGAAGAAGCGTCTCATACTCGTCCTCTCCTGTCCCCGCTCCGGGCCCGCCCGAGCATCAACAGCCCCTTCCCTCCAGCGCCCTTCTCCCTGCAGTCCGCTACCGTGGACCACGCGATCAGGCTGATAAAGACTTTCGGCCCCGGCTCCTGGCTCTCCAAGGCCGTCATCCCGGTCGCGTTCAAGCTGCTGCCATCTACCCCGACCACTGGCGCTGTTCAGGGGTCAAGTGGCGTCGGAGTTCTTCGCAGTGCGCCTCACCTTCGACTGCCGGAGTAGTCCTTCTCGTTCAACAATCTCTCGGAGGCGCCGTGTCGGATTCTGCTTAATTTTGCACGGCTCCCCCCTGTCTCCATCTCCCCGATGATTCCCTCATAGTCGACCCACCCTCAGACTGCTCCGGGGGCTCTCTCCGCAAGCTCAGGCCCGCCTTCTCTGCCCTCGGATTCCTCCACTCCGGAAAGCCCACAGGCCCCGCCAACGCTCTGGAGTTTCTCGGCATCCGCCTCGACACACGCGCCATGGAGGCCTCCCTCCCGCTGGACAAGCTCTCCTTAGATGCATCACATGGCTCTCAGTCTCGAACAATTTATCATCACTGTTCGTCACGTCCCTCGTCACCTAACCGTATTGCTGACTCTCTCTCTCGCTTTAAATTCCAGGAGTTCTGACGCCTCTGCCCTTCTGCCAATCCATCGCCATGCCAGATCCCCTGCACGGAATCCCTCGCCCCGGCCTAGTCCCTCCGTCTCTTCACCTTCTCTCCTCCGCTGCATCCTACATGAAAATGGGCTTCTTACGCATAAGCGAATTTCACAAACTCTCACGCCACCTTTAATGCATCCCGAGACATTGCCTTCTCTGACCTGTCATATTATCCCGACTACTTCAACCTCCACCTCAAGCATTCCAAACGCAAAGGCGCTTGCAATATAGTCATAGCTCGGTCTGACACTTCTCCCTGTCCCTACAGATCCATGATGCATTACACTCGCCTCCGCTCTCGGGAAGGAGATCTCACTGGACCGTTATTCTTACCCCTGATAACCTCCCTTGTCCCCCAACTGGTTCAGAGCCCAACTCAAGTCCGTACTGCTGCTTTGTAACCTGTCTCCCCATCTCTACACAGCCCACTCCCTCCGGATAGGCGCCGCCACGCGCGCCGCGTCCCTGGGGCTCCCCCATTCCGCCCTCCAGCAGCTGGGCTGCTGGTCATCATCGGCCCTCTCCTCATACATCAGGCCTGACACTTCTACCATTCTGGCAGCCCAGCGGCTTTTGGCATCTCCTTAAAACGCTCGCTAAACTTTCTGGTGGCGGCAGCAGCTGAGTATCTGCAAGTTTGGTCACAGTAGATAGCGGTCACAGTATATAGTGATAGCGGTCACAGTATATAGCGATAGCGGTCGCAGTATATAGCGATAGCGGTCACAGTATATAAGCGATAGCGGTCACAGTATATAGCGATAGCGGTCACAGTATATAGCGATAGCGGTCACAGTATATAGCAAAAAATGGTTAGCGCACGATGGTCATCAGCATATAGCGATAGCGGTCACAGTATATAGCGATAGCGGTCACAGTATATAGCGATAGCGGTCACAGTATATAGCGAAACGGATAGCGGTCACAGTATATAGCGATAGCGGTCACAGTATATAGCGATAGCGGTCACAGTATATAGCGATAGCGTTCTCAGCATAGAGTAGCCCCGACGTCTGTCCCCTCCAAACCAGGCTGCAAAACTCCATCAACTCACAACCTTTTTGGGGATTGGCATGCTCCATCGCAAAGCCCCTCCGATCTGAAGGCCGCACCGGGGCCTAGGGCGCCAAACCTCCTCCCAATAAAATACTCAAAAGCTTCTTGTTTCACGTCTCTCCAAATTGAAATGCAGCCAGCGAAAGTTCAATTTGGTAGACGTCAGCCAAAGGTAACCCCTCCAGGCCGGTTCTCATCCCCAGCCTATCGCGCTGCAAACGCCCCTTCCAATCACCGCACCGGCCAGGCAAGCCGCTTAAAAGCGGAGAAACTCCCACTCTCTGCCTTCTCGAAGCCTGCAACCACCGCCTCCCCTCCTCCTCCTCTTCACCCTGCCTTCAATCCGCCTTCAATCTGCTTCCCGCTGCCAAATGCCGCCACCAGTGCCTAGGTCCCGGGGGATTGGCACGCTCCATCGCAGAGCCCCTCCGATCTGAAGGCCGCACCGGGGCCTAGGGCGCCAAACCTCCTCCCAATAAAATACTCAAAAGCTTCTTGTTTCACGTCTCTCCAAATTGAATTGCTGTGTGTTGGGTCACTCTTTCGAATACATGCTGATAATGTTATTCATCTTCCCATGTGAAACGGCCTTAAAACCATAAGTGGAAAGTTAAAAAGAGCCGATTACTACTGCTTAGTCAAACCTAACCGTTTTAACCTTGTAGCACCCTCAGTTACAAATATGCAACATAAAGTTCAAAGGTTATGGCACAGGAAGTATGACTTTTTGGTTTAATGCAGATAATGTATGTATCCAAGATCCTAAAGAAGCTAATATGGTACATAACCAAATAATCAGTGATTGAATGCAGCTTTCCAAAAATAGCACAGATAATTATTTTCAACAAATATTTTTATGTCTGGGTTCAAAGGGGTAATATATTTTTTTTAACTAAATTTGTATCCTGTTCTGGAGCTGCTTTTTATGCAAAAACAGGGGTGTGTGTGAAGCTATACCCAATTTTTTTTCTAAGTAGTTCATAAAAATGCTTTTTACTACATACAAGTTGTATCATAATACATAATTTAATTGAAAACTTGAGGTCATTGATTCAGCTGTGTATGAAATTTATGCCGTGAAAGTGCTGAGTGGAGTCTTAGCGGGCCGTTTGTTCTCCTCTACTCACAGAACGAGCAGCGGACAGCCTGCGTCCTCTAGCCTCTACAGCGCGGCTAAACACTAGGGCTTCAACTTCAAAATTCAAATATAATTCTAAAATAAAAAAAATATATATATTCAAACAAATATTAGACAGCCCTTATAATTCGGAATGCATTTAATGACTGCAAATAAAATAGTTAGCTCCCAAAGGTTTCACCGGGATGTGCTAGGCAGGTAACAGCTAAGCTAGCTAGCTGTTTCATGGTAACTTCCGGGTTTTTCGCGATCGCTTTTTGTCGCTTTCAAGCAGTATTTTTGTCATGAAAACGTTGACAGCAGATTCTGAAACAATTAATGGTGTTGATTGATTGATATGTATTTGTTTATTGAGCGTGACTAGCTCTGCTAGCTTCTCTACACAGACAAGTGTGCAGAGAAACTGCAGAGAAACTGCACGATGTAGTGACAGGCGCTGATAGCTTGTTGTACTTGCAAAGTAATGGCAGTATTTTACACACCTGAATTACGAACAGAGATTGCATTGGGGCTGTGGTCATTATTGATTTGAGAGTTCTGTTATCAAGAAAAAATGATCGGAAGAATTGCATTCAAGTTAATGGAGTGTTCTACTGCTGCTGCAACAGACTTCAGACGGCTTTGGAAGTGTAATTACTCGGCGTATGTCAATTTTTCGTTTTTCTTACTTTTTTACTTTGTGACTTTTTCTGTTTTATGAGTGGTTTATTTCAGTCATTATTTGTGTTAAATGATCTACTTTTACCTTTAACCCCCAGACTCACATGATAATAATTCTGAGAGCCCTAGTTTGAAAGAACACATTGTGTGATGGTCTTTTCTGAACAGCTTGGACCCCAGTGAATAAGAACATGCCAGCGGTGGCAGGTGGGCTCCGCTGGGTCCACGAGCTGAAAAGAAGAATCCAGAGCCTCTTCTCCATGTTCACACAGCTGTCCTACCCGTGAGTATTTACCCGTGATTACAGCAGGAGCAGTGTTCCTACTGTAGCCGGGTTGAACCTTTCCTTTGTGTTCTTTGATATGTAATAATACTAATGCATCGGTTTTATAAAGCTTTTTTTGATATTTAAGAGGCTTCATATGTCATTATCCTTTCACTCACACACAGTGGTGATAAACTACTACTGGAGCCACAGCTGCCCTGGGGCACACTGACAGAAGCAAGGCAACCAGTATGTGCCATCAGCCCTTCTGACAATCGGCCCCTTTGACCATTCCCACACACAGCAGACTCATTCTAATGTGGGTTTAGTGTCTTGCCTAAGGACACGATGACATTTTGGCACTTTACAGTCACAGTAAACACTATAAAAAGCAATAACAAAAGAGCAGATTGTGTAGCCTACAGTGCCTTGCGAAGGTATTCGGCCCCCATGAACCTTTCAACATTTTGCCACATTTCAGGCTTCAAACATAAAGATATAAAATTTAAATTTTTTGTCATGAATCAACAACAAGTGGGACACAATCGTGAAGTGGAACGAAATGTATTGGATAATTTAAACTTTTTTAACAAATAAAAAACTGAAAAGTGGGGCGTGCAATATTATTGGGCCCGTTTACTTTCAGTGCAGCAAACTCACTCCAGAAGTTCAGTGAGGATCTTTGAATGATCCAATGTTGTCCTAAATGACTGATGATGATAAATAGAATGCACCTGTGTGTAATCAAGTCTCCGTATAAATGCACCTGCTCTTTGATAGTCTCAGGGTTCTGTTTAAAGCACAGAGAGAACCATGAAGACAAAGGAAGACACCAGGCAGGTCCGAGATACTGTTGTGGAGAAGTTTAAAGCCGGATTTGGATATAAAAAGATTTCCCAAGCTTTAGGGCGGCACGGTGGCTGAGTGGATAGCACTCTCGCCTCTCAGCAAGAAGGTCCTGGGTTCGAATCCCGGTTGGACCAGGGCCTTTCTGAGTGGAGTTTGCATGTTCTCCCCGTGTCTGCGTAGGTTGCCTCCGGGTGCTCCGGTTTCCCCTACCACTAAAAATATGTACAATAGGTCTGACATGTGCCTCCTGTACTGGCACCCCCACTCCCAAAAATAGCAATTGTATACTGCTTTGAGACTCCGATGTGCAGTGAAAAGGCGGTATATAAATAAAGCTTACTTACTAAAAGCTTACTAAACATCTCAAGGAGCACAGTGCAAGCAATTATATTGAAATGGAAGGAGTATCAGACCACTGCAAATCTACCAAGACCCGGCCGTCCCTCCAAACTTTCATCTCAAACAAGGAGAAGACTGATCAGAGATTCAGCCAAGAGGCCCATGATCACTCTGGATGAACTGCAGATAACTACAGCTGAGGTGGGAGAGTCTGTCCATAGGACAACAATCAGTCGTGCACTGCACAAATCTGGCCTTTATGGAAGAGTGGCAAGAATAAAGCCATTTCTCAAATATATCCATAAAAGTCTTGTTTAACGTTTGCCACAAGCCACCTGGGAGACACACCAAACACGTGGAAGAAGGTGCTCTGGTCAGATGAAACCAAAATCGAACTTTTTGGCCACAATGCAAAACGATATGTTTGGCGTAAAAGCAACACAGCTCATCACCCTGAACACACCATCCCCACTGTCAAACATGGTGGTGGCAGCATCATGGTTTGGGGCTGCTTTTCTTCAGCAGGGACAGGGAAGATGTCTAAAATTGATGGGAAGATGGATGGAGCCAAATACAGGCCATTCTGGAAGAAAACCTGTTGGAGTCTGAAAAAGACCTGAGACTGGGACGGAGATTTATCTTCCAACAGGACAATGATCCAAAACATAAAGCCAAATCTACAATGGAATGGTTCACAAATAGACCTATCCAGGTGTTAGAATGGCCAAGTCAAAGTCCAGACCTGAATCCAATCGAGAATCTGTGGAAAGAGCTGAAGACTGTTGTTCACAAAAGCTCTCCATCCAACCTCACTGAGCTCGAGCTGTTTTGCAAGGAAGAATGAGAGAGAAGAATCCCGCACACCGTCTAACTTGCAAATAAAAAATATTTATTTAAGGAGCAAACATGCTTGATGAAGGCATAACGCCGAAACGTCGCAGCTCCTTAAATAAATATTTTTTATTTGCAAGTAAGACGGTGTGCGGGATTCTTCTCTCTCTGACTTTAGGCTCTACAGGCCCCCTCTCCAACGCACCCGCTCTGAAGGTTTTTGATGTGCGAATCCCTACTTCATTCATTTTGCAAGGAAGAATGGACAAGAATTTCAGTCTCTCGATGTGCAAAACTGATAGAGAAATACCCCAAGCGACTTGCAGCTGTAATTGCAGCAAAAGGTGGCGCTACAAAGTATTAGTGCAAGGGGGCCGAATAATATTGCACGCCCCACTTTTCAGTTTTTTATTTGTTAAAAAAGTTTAAATTATCCAATAAATTACTTTCCACTTCACGATTGTGTCCCACTTGTTGTTGATTCTTGACAAAAATAATAATTTTTATATCTTTATGTTTGAAGCCTGAAATGTGGCGAAATGTTGAAAGGTTCAAGGGGGCCGAATACTTTCGCAAAGCACTGTATATAAGACCATACAAGTACTTTCTTTTTGGAGGGGATAGGATTGATGTAAGCTTTTTCCTTCATCCAATTCCTTTTCAAACCAAATCAAGGGATATTTAGACCAGGGAAAAATATGCAATTAATTGTGAGTTAACTCTGGCATTAATGCAGTTAAATATTTTAACTGTTCGACAGCTCTACTTTTTTTTTGTTTTTTGTTACAACCAAATAAAATGAACGCACAAACTGTTTTTTTGGTTACTTTGTATGAATGCAGGGTAATTTATGAAATTCTTATGGAGTGTCGTTCGTTTAGATGCCTGGAGAGTGCGGCAGGAGCTCAAGTCATCCACAAGTATGAAGACACAATGCAGCTACTGGACAGGTGTGTGTGCCCCATCCCCAGTTTGGAGAAACACTCTTCTGCCACACAGACCCGCAACACCCACTCTACTATACTAGAAACGCTCATTCCTTAATTATGTAATTATGTCTATCTTGTAGAATAATTATAGATTGAATAGTTTTTATTTTATAACTATACTCAATTCTCAAATGCATTGTAATGCACTCAGAGAAGAGCTGAAGGAATTGTGTATCATTTTGCTTAATCATCAATCTCCATAAGCTCCAGTGACAGGAGAGTGGCAACACTCAGAGATGGGGCTTTGCAACTCGGACTTGAGTCAGACCTAAGAGACTTACGACTCGGACCCATCCCCTTAAGACTTGAGACTCGCTTTGGACTTGTCTCTAAAGACTGCAGACTTGACTTGTGTTTTTGGGACTCGCAAGTCTCTATGGTATTGATTTTCCAAATAAAATCTGTTGTGCCACAGCAATGCTCGCCCTCGTTCTCTTTTTCTCTCCTTTGTGTGCGTCGGAGTAACGCCCAGTGTCGAGTTACCACAGGGTGAACTGGCCATTGGTGCCTTCTGGAGAAGCAGTGAACGGCCACAGACTCTGGCTGCTGGGCTGACCGCTGTGTGTAGGATGTGAAAACCAAACAGACCTGGTCAAAGAGAGCGAGGCCGTGCGCTGCTGCAGAGAGGAGAAAGCAGTCAATTTTACAACAGCACAGTGAGCGCTCCGCTGCACCGTCCAGAACAGACCAGTGTGCAACAGGACTACTGCCCAGGACAGCTCACTATTCACACACCACAAACTCAGAGAGAACGTGTGGTCAGTAATTCGAGAATCATACCTGGATCATGGAGCAGAAGTTTCCATGTCCTCCTGTCTCCTCCTGCAGCTCATGCTCCTGACGCTGCAGGTCAAACTACTTGAGGGTCCACTGTTAACGCAAAGGGAATTTTGGTATGTCGGTGTGAATATTTGCATGTAAGAAGATACTCAAACAACTAAAACAAGAGTTAAACCAGGACTAATTGAGGATTATACCAGGGCTGACAATGGGGGACACAGTCCTTGTGGACGTAGGGGTTCACCCTGAGTTCACATTTTACCGTTTATGGATACAAAGTGCTGCTAACGTGCCCGCCGATACGGAAGTTCCTGTTTATTCTCCAACAAGGCCCAACATATCCGGCCTGCGTTTTGTGACTGCGCAGGTCAGTACATCAGATTTTCTAAAAACTAATGTGGCTGTTTTTTAGTGAACATGCGTCCAAGACTCATCAACGCTGCATCCATGCATCAGCGGTGGGGACGCAGCTTAATCCAGTAGTGCCAATTGTTTGTCGATGATAACAAAAAATCATTTGTTTTTGTTATAAAAAACAAAATGTTTTTGTTGTAATACCAGAATGATCTCTATCAAATCCAACTAGCATTAAGTTTTTACACTTGCATATGATTCTAATGAAACACTTATATCATAACTTATATCATAGTTAAGAGTTCAATAATTTAATATCATATCTTAGCAAGGGGGGAAAAAAACGACACCAAAATTCAGGAGTCATTACATTAATCATTAACAACATGCGGAGTGCAGATGAGCAGATGCGTTTCCTCCTGTAGTCCATTTAGCTGCTGATCCACTCCTCTCCCTGCAATGCTATGGACGTTTGCAAGAGCTTTCACAGAGAGAGAGACTCATATCCTCCTTTACATCGGAAGACAGGACTGTCCATCTGATCTTGTGTTGAACCTTTCTGCAAAAGAAATATAGAACCAACCTGGAAATTACAACGTAAGTGTAAAATGTTTTATATTCCAGCCATTCTTCTCCTCTTTGATAATTTTGCAATAACAGAAAGACGCTAGTACAATTTTGTTTTACAAATTAAACTGCTCTTAAAATGCACAGTAGACTTATTAAGAAGAATCCGACTATCACAAAGCTGCACCACTTTTTGGGACCACACAGTGGCAGTGTTGCTCCATGGTTTGCTAGCACTTGCCTACGAGGACATGAGGACTTCAGGAGAAAAGAACACAATGAAGAGGGACTCGTTGTAAAAAAAATAATCACCTAATGTTTTAAAGCACGGGCGTTGGACATGTTGCCATTTTTAGTGCCTTCAGTTTCCTTAGGATCCGTCTGCTACAGGAAACAAACTGAATGACCACCACCAGACCAGCATCAAGACAGGCCAGCACCATGGAGGGCTATCTTCAGCCAACACAGTTACCTTAGTACTCTTAGGATTACTGCCTGTGTTTAGCACTTGTTGCTTCACAGCAAGGTCCTGGGTTCAATCACAGGGCCTTTCTGTGCGGAGTTTGGATGCTCTCCTCGTGTCAGCGTAGGTTTCCTCAGGGTGCTCCAAGACACTTAACCCCACTTTGTCTGAAACCCCCGACGAAAGACTCACATGTATTTTTGGTCCTTCCTATTTTTTGGATTGTGGCCGTAATTAAATCTGCAAACCCCCACTGAGAGACAAATAAAGGTTTATCTATAATAACCCTTTTTTGTCTTTATGCTGATTTAAGTAATGAATCATTGAATGAATAACATGACATCCTACCTGTGTTATCATAACTAAGGTTATGTGTGATATCGACTTTAAAACTCCTACACCAGCATGCAGCAGTGTCACGTGGAGAAACAAAGGACCCAAAAAGCAGGAATGCAAAAAATAATGGGGGGGGGGAAGAAAACTAAAACAAAACCACAGGAGAAATTGTGTTAAAATAAAACAAAGTACCAAAATAACTAAATCCACACCAACTAATAAAATGATACCATTGACATTGTATAGGAATATTATATATTTTAAATTAAAACATTTAAATTAGGTTGTATTGTTTATAAATTATTGTTTTACAGTTCTTCATATCTATTTCACTCTACCATATTTGTCCTTCATTTTATATTAAATTCAGTACCTCCTTTATTATTACAAAAAAGTAGCCAAAAACACATGATGATAAAACATCCTCACTCTGGACATCCAGAATCTGTCTCAAAGCTTGTGCAGCTGTAAATCTTGCTATTCTAGGTCTGTGGACATGCTTCCTGCAGTAATGCTTAGAGTTGGCAGATTGCAAAACCATCTGAAGCTACAATGCCAAAACTCTAACAGATAACTTCCTGTTGTCATAAATGATCCCCGCACCAGTTTGGATTGTACTTGCCATACGGATTGGCCCATCCTTATAAAATTCTATGAACAAATACAAAACAAATAGATCCTTGGTAGGATCTTGGGATTAAATATAGAAACATGGGGCACAAATGTATATGCCCGAGGCCGTATACATGATTCCACTCGGTAGCTTGAAGGTTAAATGCACAGATGACTCTGTGATAGTAGGTCTGCTCCAAGAGAGAGAGAGCAGCCAAATGTACCTGAGTTTGTGGAATGGGGCGAGGAGTCTTTTTTTGCAGCTGAATGTAGTGTAATCAAGACTAAAGAGATAGTGTTTGGCTTTAGAAAGAATCCTCTGGAAAAGAACCACTTACAGTGAGAGGACTGTGGAGCAGGTGACCCAATACAATTATCTGGACACCATAACTCACTGAACTTTGAGACCAACTGTGCACAGTGTGTAACGGCCTCGAAAAAAGCAGAACTATGCAATATAACGGATTTTCTAACATGCAAAAAATACTGCTACCTGTGTTACTATAGCCCCTATAGCTATATAAGTTATTCATTCTAAGCCACACTGAAATATCAAACAATGTGCCTTATAAAACCCCCGAGATCACATTCCTTTAATCAGGGCAGGAGGTCCATCAGTTTACTCCACAGGTGAACCCATCATAACGAGAGTAGTCACAAAGATATATACCAGGGTATAAAGTAGCCTAAGCCAGAATATACCCCCGGGTATAAACTGGCCTAGGCTAGTTTACCCCTCAAAGGCCAGATTAACCCCCTCTTTCATTTTATATAATAACAATAAAATACAAGCTTTATTTTACTAATTTAGGGCAAGGATATGATTACGGGGGCTTCATCTGCCCATAATTGGTAGATATTTTTCTCAGTACTGTATTTAAGGACTGACTGTCTGTACAGTACAGTACAGTACCAGAGTATTAGGACATTGTTATAGTTTTATCAAGTAAATACAATATGGTATATCAGCATTTAGATATTGTATTGCTTAATTGATTACTTACAGTACATTGTTTTAGAATAGCTTATTTCATAAATCATATCCTTTCCCTAAATGTATTTTGGGCGACAATAGCTCAGTTGGTAGAGCATTGGCCTTTGAGTCAGAGTTGGGTGGGTTCGAGCCCGACTTTCACCATTGACTCCCACTATGTCTGCTGTCGTTATGTCCTTGGCAAGACACTTAACCTCTGGGAACACCAGCCACAATGGGGCGACTGCGGCTGTAAAGTGCCAAACTGCCGTTGTGTCCTTAGGCAAGACACTTCACCCACATTGCCTAGAACGAGTCTGGTGTGTCTGTGAATGGTTGGTGGTGGTGGGAGGGGCCGATGGCACATACTGGTTGCCTCGCTTCTGTCAGTGTGCCCCAGGGCAGCTGTGGCTACAGTAGTTATCCCCACTGTGTATGGAGTGAATGATTAATGATATGTAAAGCGTCTTTGAGTGTCCGAAAAAAAGCGCTATATAAAACCGATGCATTATTATTAAAAGCTATATGCCCATGTTTAAGGAATCCTTATATTGAATACAAGTATATTTAATTACAAAAACAATCGTAGATCAACAGCTGACACATCATTTATCTGTAGCTATAGTGCTCATCCACTGGAAGCAGTCACACCAAGGAAGCAATACGTAATGCTCTGAAACAATGAGAAGTCAGGAAACACCTTGAGCCAATGAAACACTTCTACACCGACACCGTTGATATGCGCAGTGAAGCAGCGGCTACAGAGTCCAAGACACTGACACGTTTGTTACGTGACCGGTTGTTTTGATACACACCTCGACGCACTGTTTTCGAAGCAGTTTGCTTCGGAAAGAGCGACACATCTGTGTCATTTGCCCATTTTATTTACTCAAAAGTTCTAAGAGTTTCTTTTGAGAAGTAAGTAGATACATTGACTCATCACCTCACAAACAAAGTGTGAAAAGCAATCACACATATCCGGGCTCCAGAGTAATTAACAAACAAACGACTTCTTAATGCTTTAAAATAATTTAATATGTTTTTATTTTTTTAACTTTAGATAATGTATATTTTATCATTATTAGATAAAACAAGGGGGGGGGGGGGGGGGGGGGGGGTTAAAATAGCCTAGACTATTTTATACTGGGGGTATAAACTGGCCAAGGGGTATAAAATAGCCTGTTAAACCGGATTAGTTGACAGTTCGTCCATCCTGCTGTCTTCGCAGAACGTGGAGCTGATGGGTGCATGGATAGGGCACATAGGTCCTGACATCAAACAGATTGAGTCCGAGCAGTGTGACCCAAAGTTATTGCAGTTGCAAAAACCCCCAAGGTTAATGCTCCCTGACCTCACTGCACCCTGGAGAAGGTCCAACATTGGCTGTATCGCACAGGGAGTGGGGTCGAGACCTCTTTCTGCACACCAGTCAGAGAAGAGAGATCATCACATGAGTCACACTAAACTCCACCAACAAGTACCCCCAAAAGACAAAATACCTGCAAAAAACAAATGCAATGCATGATACTAAATTAAGACATGCAAAAAGTATACATAGGAGAAACAAGGTCGCTTTCCACACCCAAATTAAAGGAACAGAAACAAGAAACATGAGGAAGACAAGCAAGGGCAAAGACAGAAAACAAATTGACCATATCTGACTGCAAGAGGAATAGGGTGGCATTATAGACTCGGACGGGGCAAAGGTAATCAGAACTGGAAACTGGAGGGCTGGATTAAGAAGCAGAGAAACAATAGAAGCTATTCCACAGGCCACTGGGCGAAAAGGGGGCGTGGTCAGTCATGTTCAAACTGTCACATTAATCAGACAGACCACGCCCACTCAGGAAGTAAAATTAGCTGATAATTCAATTCAATGTATATTTGTATATCTCTAATTCAGAACAGTTGTTTTCTTGGAGGACTTCACAAAGTTGTTGATTTGCTACACTAATACACATTAAGAGTGTTTCAACATCCCTAGCTGGTACAGTGATACAAGGTACCAGCTTTGGCCTTGTTTCTAACCAGACTAGAATATTGTTAGCAGTAGTTTAATGTCTGCTGGTGTGTGTTGCAGGTATGCGAGTAGCTTGTATGACTCCTGGGCACAGACTGTGGCTCAGACCTCTGAGTGTAACCTGAGTCTGCCCCTCATCACACGAGAGCCCACCAGCCGCCTACTGTCCGTCAACTTCAACCCTCAGGTAGTTTTGACACACGCACGCACACACAGGCACACGGGCAGGGATTGGCCTCCTGCTGGTACCCAGAGACATGAATAAGCATGGGGGAGGCAGTGTTTCAGATTTATGCAGCAAAAATCATCTGGAGCAGTCTTTCTGAAAAAGTGAGACAGGCTTCTTCTCTGACAATGTTCAATTATTGTATCCTCCCTTTTTGACGTGTCATTATTTAAATGCTTATTTCTTGTTTTGTTAAGCAATTCAGTTGTATAGCAGAGATCTCAAGGCAACTTAAACTTGCCTTGCCTTACTTTATTATGCTGTCATCTGAATCAGCTGGTGTCTGTCCTTCGGGAGGTGAAGTATTTGACGTGTGGGCAGAGTGAGGCTCTTCCTGAAGCTGCACTACTGCTTTACTCCAGAAGAGAGCATCTGTGGCAGTATGTGTCAAACCTGGAGCTCACTGTCCACCATTACAACAAGGTATTGTGCCTTCCCATCTCACCACCTCTCAGAATTTGTGGAAGTTAGTTAGGAAAAAATACAGAAAAGTTCAAAAACTGTTATTGCACTGTTACTAGATTCAGTGAATTCTACATTTTATCTTACTATTTCCATTAACCACCACCAATTTGAAATTTCCCCACTGTGGGACGAATAAAGGATCTCTTATCTTGTCTTATCTTATACACCATTTGAAATACATTTCTTTGGTGTTTTCTTGAGATAACCATTAGGTGTGACACACTACTGTAGAAATATGAACAGGTCGCCATCAATGCTGCGGGTGAATCATAATAATTAAAAGTCAAAAAATGGCCTCGTGTTTGACATGTCATGTAAGGAGTAAGTACAGATATTTTTTCTCAAAAATAGAGAAGTAAAGTACAGACACCAGGAAAAATATTTGGTAACACTTTATAATACTGTTTGCTTTTAAATCATTTATAAATCATTGACTACTTGTTAATAAAACATTAATGTGTGTCTTATTTATATAAATAATCATCTAAACATTAACAACTCATTAACAAGTGTTATTTGTAACTATTTTGGAAATCATTACATACTAATGAACAAATAATCTTGTAATCATTATGTTTTATTTAAGTGTTTTAAATAATTCATAAATGATTCACACATTATTTACTAATTGTTATTAGTTCATTATCAAATGTTGATTATTCACATGTAAACATTATTATAACCATGTGCTACTCATGAGCTAATTATTAACAACTCATTTATGAATTAATATATAATAAATACCTAATGATTGTTAAATCATTAAGAATGTTGAAATTCACATCTAATACTGAATAATGAACAATGATTAGGTGATATGTTAAATATTCACCAACATCAAAATAAAAGTATACTACTCATGATCTACATAGTATCAACTCATTTACTATTTATTCATATCATGAACTACTCAGAAACAGAAAATGTTTCAATGTTTTATTGACATTTAATTATAAATCATGACATTATATATTCATTTACAAATGATTATTACAATATTTCATGGTAATGGAATGCTCATGTTAACAAATCATTTACAAATGTTTAACAACATTTACTAAGGCCAACTACTCATTAGTTACTCTTTTCGCAAACAGTATTATAAGGTAGGGACTGTTCCTCATTTATAATCAGTGTTGGGCACGTTACTTTGAAAAGTAATTAGTTATAGTTACTAGTTACTTCTCCCAAAAAGTAACTGAGTTACTAACGGAGTTACTCCACTATAAAAGTAACTAGTTACCAGTAAAAGTAACTATTGCTTTACTTTTTCGTTTTGTTCTGGAACATAATGTGCACTCGACGTGCACATTTTAACCTTTAACCTCAGTGAGTCTGAAATAGTGCCAATATTTCCATCTAAAAAAGATTTTGCTGCTGAAGTCCTGTTCACTCTTCATCTCTCTCTGTGCTGTAAGCACTAAACACCAACACCCGCCACTGTGAATGTGGAAACACCGGTGAAGCACTGACTTCAGCCCAATCAGATGAACATATACAGTGCCTTGCGAAAGTATCCGGCCCCCTTGAACCTTTCAACATTTCGCCACATTTCAGGCTTCAAACATATAGATATAAAAATTTAATTTTTTGTCATGAATCAACATTAAGTGGGACACAATCGTGAAGTGGAACGAAATTTAATTTAAACTTTTTTAACAAATAAAAAACTGAAAAGTGGTGCGTGCAATATTATTCAGCCCCTTTACTTTCAGTGCAACAAACTCACTCCAGAAGTTCAGTGAGGATCTTTGAATGATCCAATGTTGTCCTAAATGACTGATGATGATAAATAGAATGCACCTGTGTGTAATCAAGTCTCCGTATAAATGCACCTGCTCTTTGATAGTCTCAGGGTTCTGTTTAAAGCGCAGAGAGAACCATGAAGACAAAGGAACACACCAGGCAGGTCCGAGATACTGTTGTGGAGAAGTTTAAAGCCGGATTTGGATACAAAAAGATTTCCCAAGCTTTAAACATCTCAAGGAGCACTGTGCAAGCAATTATATTGAAATGGAATGAGTATCAGACCACTGCAAAGCTACCAAGAACCGGCCGTCCCTCCAAACTTTCATCTCAAACAAGGAGAAGACTGATCAGAGATGCAGCCAAGAGGCCCATGATCACTCTGGATGAACTGCAGATAACTACAGCTGAGGTGGGAGAGTCTGTCCATAGGACAACAATCAGTCGTGCACTGCACAAATCTGGCCTTTATGGAAGAGTGACAAGAAGAAAGCCTTTTCTCAAAGATATCCATAAAAAGTCTCGTTTAAAGTTTGCCACAAGCCACCTGGGAGACACACCAAACATGTGGAAGAAGGTGCTCTGGTCAGATGAAACCAAAATCGAACTTTTTGGCCACAATGCAAAACGATATGTTTGGCGTAAAAGCAACACAGCTCATCACCCTGAACACACCATCCCCACTGTCAAACATGGTGGTGGCAGCATCATGGTTTGGGCCTGCTTTTCTTCAGCAGGGACAGGGAAGATGGCTAAATATGATGGGAAGATGGATGGAGCCAAATACAGGATCATTCTGGAAGAAAACCTGTTGGAGTCTGCAAAAGACCTGAGACTGGGAGGGAGCTTTATCTTCCAACAGGACAATGATCCAAAACATAACGCCAAATCTACAATGGAATGGTTCACAAATAGACGTATCCAGGTGATAGAATGGCCAAGTCAAAGTCCAGACCTGAATCCAATCGAGAATCTGTGGAAAGAGCTGAAGACTGCTGTTCACAAACGCTCTCCATCCAACCTCACTGAGCTCGAGCTGTTTTGCAAGGAAGAATGGGCAAGAATTCCAGTCTCTCGATGTGAAAAACTGATAGAGACATACCCCAAGCGACTTGCAGCTGAAATTGCAGCAAAAGGTGGCGCTACAAAGTATTAGCGCAAGGGGACCGAATAATATTGCACGCCCTACTTTTCAGTTTTTTATTTGTTAAAAAAGTTTAAATTATCCAATAAATTTCGTTCCACTTCACGATTGTGTCCCACTTGTCGTTGATTCTTGACAAACAATTTAATTTTAATATCTTTATGTCTGAAGCTTGAAATGTGGCGAAACGTTGAAAGGTTCAAGGGGGCCGAATACTTTCGCAAGGCACTGTATATCATATAAATCAAGTGGACAGTTTGTTCGGCTACAGCAGAATATGTTTCATGCCCGCATTGTTTGTTCATACAAAACGCAAAACTATGAGTTATGGGTCTTACCTTATAAATGACCTGCACAGGCCACTTCGGTTCAGACCTACAGTATGGAAGCCCGTTTCCGCCATGTAAAAAAAAAAAAAAGCCTACAGAAAGCCTACAAAAACTCAAAATTACGACTTTAAAAGTCAAAATTTCAACTTTAAAAGTCAAAATTACAAGTTTTCAACTGCATATGCGCAGTTGAAAACTCGTATGTGTTGTTGTCTGGAACGGTCTCTGGTCATCCCTATTATAGATCCATGGGTCATCCTCTACCTGCAGATTATGTGAAGATTTTTCCACATCCATGAAGTAGCAGCAATAATGTTGTGGCAGTAATCACGTTAAAATGCAAACGGTCTCTCCGTTTATGATTAGAATCCAAAGCCTCTATTTAGTTTATCCTAAACGGACTGTGGAAGATTAATAAAACACATGCGGCTGGTCACATTCATTGAGCATCAACTGGTGACGCCTGGTCAGTATCACGGCTATCGATGGATGCACCAGAAATGCAGTGAATGATATTGTGACTGACAGAGACACCGTTCGCGATGACTGGACAGTGAGGCAGGTCCGCAGACAGAGGCAGGTGAACCACAGACAGAGGCAGGTGAACCACAGTCGCGATCAGTAAATTGAAGAGTATGTGACGTGTGTGCGTGCACGCGGCCGAAACGTGAGCGCGCTCTGGGGTGAGCTGATGGAGCGAGCGTGTGGGTAAAGTTGTTGGCGTATGAGCAGGAACCAGAGACATATAGGGAATAATAAAGCCCACGACTCTTTTAGCAACAATCCGTAGAAATAACTCCGCAGATAACAGTGAGGGTCTTTGAAAAGGGAGTTAAACACATTATAGATGCATGAATAAAACCCTGTACATAAAAAGAAAGCGCATCCTTTCAGCTGCGGAAAAACTCGCTCCGTGTGGACCACTCTCAGCGCCATCGTCTGGTCAGAGTGGTCTATAGCAGATTGGATTGGAATGTCTCGATGGCTCATTTTCCTAACCTGGCAAGAGCTAGATTGATGATTGTGTAGAACTCTAATGCGTTCTCCACAATATCAATCTGGGACTTCTGCAGGAGAATCCTTTCGGGGAAAGGAGGGATAAGCAGCAGAATTCTTCAAGCTGATTGGGCGAAGTGACACTGTGTGCCCGCCTACCAAGGTTTGACTTAAACCAATCCCTGTAACATTATGTCGTCATCGGCGTGCACAAAGTGCCTCTCGCTGTTCATCTTTCAAAAAAAAAAACTGACTTGATAGCCTCAGCTGCGCGTCCGTCCTCCTGCGTAGCACATGTTTGTTTTGCTTCGGCCCGGCACTTCTTGCTTTCGTCAAACCCGGATATCCCGCCCTAAACCCCCAGACTGGCGCGTGATTGGCTTGAACACCTAGATGTTCTACTCGAAAAGGGTTGGCGGGAGTGGGGCAAGATCAAGCCCCGGCGATCCAAGATGGCGCCCTATTCAAATGAATGGTTGTGCTCAGTGGCGCTTTGTGACGGCATGGGGGCTGAAAAGATTAGCGGAAGTTGCCTGAAACTCGCAAAGATCTATGGGAAACTCGCCAGTATTTGGGCATCGTCTGGTCCTCCCGGTTCTGTGCAGTGGATGATCTCCCATAATGCGTTGCGCCAAACATGCGTGTGTGGGTCTCACATCGGGTCTCACGCACGTGCACAGAGGGGCTCGGCTGCGCTCTGACCAATCAGAGCGGGAGTTAGAGCGAGAGCTAGACGAGCAGAGTTTGTGGCAGTAAAGTGTGGATTTAAACAAAACCGAAGGATTTAAGAAGAAAAAAAGTTCAGGATGACAAGGGACACTAAAATCCCCACAAAATCCGACCTTTAATAAAGCTGTAGGTTCTCTGTCAGCTGAGGTGGAGCTGTTTTAATATGCATTGAGTCCTATGGGGAAAATTTCTGGGAAGCCCATGTGAATTTAGTCTGGTTCAGTCTGCAGTACCGCGAAAATCCCCCGAGCACATGAGTTATTCAGCTACAAGCTAGTAATACCCTATCCAGTTATTATAATAGATCCATGGGCAAGATGTATTCTCGAGTGTGAACTCACAAATACCGCGAGAATTCAGCTTGCAGGCAAGGTTATCATTTTCCTTTGATTTATTATAAAAAACATATTGCTCACAATATTTGTTACTATGTCAAAATAAGAAGTAGTTTGATTTAAATGTTGTATATATGTAAATTGAATTGAATTTATTTTAAATAAATAAAAAGACAGCTCTCCCCTGCGTCCTACGACCGTGGTCAAGGGCTTAAACAGAAAGGTTTTACAAAATCAATCAAACAACATTATTTCTGGCTACTTCAAGGATGCAGGGGTCACTGTAGGCAATATCTTCACATAATCTGCAGGTGAAGGATGTCCAGAGACCGTTCCTGACAACAACACATACGAGTTTTCAACTGCACATTCGCAGTTGAAAAATCTTAATTTTGACTTTTTAATTTTGACTTTTAAAAGTCGTAATTTTGACTTTTAAAGTCGTAATTTTGACTTTTAAAGTCGTAATTTTGAGTTTAAAACTCAAAATTTGGACTTTCTGTACATGGCAAAAATGGGCTTCCATACAGACCAGTTCCGTGTTTAAGTCCAGATAATAGTTTGAGCGTAGATATGTAATCCTCCATTTGGAAATGAGTCCAATGAGTTTTAAAAAGTAAAACAAAACGCGTGTGTCCTCCATAAACTCCTCTGTTTTGCTGCAGCCGGGTGCATCCATTTTCTAAAATCAACCGTCTAACACTTCACCTCTCTTTCTTATCATTCCTATAGTCATTGAAAAATTACCCTAAGTACATTTTAAATTATCTTAAAATGTGTTATATGTATGTTAGCCAAACCTGTTGCTGTCCTTAGCAGATAAACCAGGAAGAGAAAGGAGCTTATCGATGGAATAGTACGCAGCCAACTTCTGCGCTCTCATGCGCTCCTCTGAGGCTGGCCTCACGGTGATACAAGCCGTGGTTGAGCGCGATTAAGACCCATATTTGTTTCAAAAACACAATTTATGAGCATCCTCTCAGCTGTAGACATGTAGATTGTAAAGGAAATATGTTTTACATCAGCCAATAATTGGCGAGAGGTTTTCTCATCCTCCCTTCTCTCATGACAACACGCGCACAAGTCCTATCACGAAGTAAAAAGAGAAGTTCATTGTGCGTCTTGAGTAACGCGCAGTAACGGGATGTCGGAAATGATAACGGCGTTATAGTTACAGTCAAAGTAATTAGTTAGATTACTCGTTACTGAAAAAAGTAACGGCGTTACTAGTAACACCGTTATTCCCATGACTTATAATTAAATGTCAATAAAACATTGAAAAATGTGTTGTATATTTTCTGTTTCTGAGTAGTTCATGATATGAATGAAAATGAGTTGATACTATGTGGACTCTGCAACTGTTCGAAGAAGACACATAAATGAAAATACGAGTGAACTATTTATGGGAATGATAAACTTTGAAAATGCATCGTATTCTACTGTAGATGAACTGTTTAACTCTGTCACCTCTAGTGTTTTGAATGTTCTGGATACCGTTGCCCCTGTGAAGGTTAAAATAGTGAAAAATAAGCAGAAGGCGCCGTGGGCTAAAGCAGACTCGGTCAGAGCACTGAAGAGAAAGTGCCGGAGGGTCGAGCGGAAGTGGCGCAAGTCCAACCTCCAGGTTGATTACAAGATATTCAAGGATAAGTTGTGCGAGTTTAACCGGGTGCTACGTAGTACGAGAGAAAGGTATTTTTCTGAAATGATTGAAGGCTGCAGCAACAATCTGCGTGTTCTGTTTTCAACAGTTAATAGATTAACAAACCCCCCTGTTCAGATGCCATTAGAGCTAACTTCCAAACGTAAATGCAATGAGTTTGCACACTTTTTCAATGACAAGGTTCAAGGCATCAAAAACGCCATTGTCTCCAATCCACAGATAACCATCCAACAGCCTGAAAGGCTCTCTGAGCTAACTTACTTTGCACCTGTAGATGATAAAAATTTCCAAGAAATAATCTCCAGTTTGAGCTCCTCCACATGCAGCCTGGATGTACTACCCACTAGATTTCTGAAGTCTGTTCTGAGCAGTCTGTTACCTTCACTCACACAGATAGTAAACATGTCCCTTAATTCTGGAATATTCCCAAAGGCCCTGAAAACGGCAGTCATCAGGCCCCTGCTAAAAAAGAGCAGTCTTGATGCTAACTTAACAACTATCGTCCCATCTCAAATCTGCCATTTATGGGGAAAGTCCTTGAAAAAGTTGTCTACCTACAGCTTACTAGATTTCTTATAATCAACAACTCATTTGATATGTTTCAGTCCGGCGTTAGACCCCACCACAGCACTGAGACTGCTCTTGTCAAGGTTACAAACGATATCCGGCTGAACACTGACGCAGGCAAAGTCTCAATCTTAATCTTGTTAGATCTAAGTGCTGCCTTTGACACCGTCGACCATGAGATCCTCTTACAGAGACTAGAGGACTGGGTTGGCGTCGCTGGCACCGCCCTAAGTTGGTTTAGGTCTTACCTTGAAGACAGGAAGTACTTTGTGGAGATTGGAAACTGTGTCTCAGATCATATGGCCCTGACCTGTGGAGTACCACAGGGGTCGATCCTGGGACCTCTTCTGTTCAATCTCTACATGCTGCCGTTAGGTCAGTTAATACGCAGAAACGAAGTGTCCTATCATAACTATGCAGACGACACTCAGATCTATGTCTCACTGACTGCAGGAGAACATGGACCAGTGGACTCACTCCTTCACTGTATCCAACAGATCAGTGAGTGGATGCAAAACAACTTCCTTCAGCTAAACGCAGACAAAACTGAAATGATTGTCTTTGGTCCCCAGAAACAAAGAGAGAGCGTCATCTGTCACCTACAGTCTCTCTCCCTAAAACCTTCAAAACAAGGTCAGGTATCTAGGGGTAATACTGGACTCAGACTTAAATTTTAATAGCCACATCAAATCAGTAACATCAGCAGCTTTTTACCATCTAAAAAACATTGCCAGGATCAAAAACATAGTGTCTAAAGCAGACTTGGAGATTCTTATCCATGCATTTGTCTCCAGTAGGTTAGACTACTGCAATGGCCTGCTCACAGGTCTGTCCAAACAGGCTGTAAAACAGCTGCAGTACATTCAAAATGCAGCAGCTCGAGTCCTGACTAGAACCAGGAAGTATGACCACATTAGTCCGGTCCTCAGGTCTCTGCACTGGCTTCCTGTGGCTCAGAGAATAGACTTTAAAACAGCTCTGCTTGTGTACAAATCTCTCCATGGCCTCGCACCAAAATATATTAGTGACATGTTAGTACCATATGAACCAGCCCGGACTCTGAGGAGCACGGGGACTGGACTCCTGTTAGTGCCCAGAGTCAGAACTAAACATGGGGAGGCTGCTTTTCAGATTCATGCTGCTAAAATCTGGAACAGTCTTCCTGAAGATGTGAGACAGGCCTCCTCTCTGACAATGTTTAAAACCAGGTTAAAGACTGTTCTGTTTAGCTGTGCATACAACTGAGGGATTTTATATTTTTATCTTTTTTTTTTTTTTTTTTATGTACTGTGATTATTTATGATTTTAATGCTTTCTTGTTTTGTTCAGCACTTTGAATTGCCTTGTGTATGAATTGTGCTATACAAATAAACTTGCCTTGCCTTGCCTTGCCTAGATCATGAGTAGTATACTTTTATTTTGATGTTGGTGAATATTTAACATATCACCTAATCATTGTTCATTAGCTGGAAACACTTAGGTAATGTGTATTAGATGTGAATTTCAACATTCTTAATGATTTAACAATCATTAGGTATTTATTATATATTAATTCATAAATGAGTTGTTAATAATTAGCTCATGAGTAGCACATGGTTATAATAATGTTTACATGTGAATAATCAACATTTGATAATGAATTAATAACAATTAGTAAATCATGTGTCAATCATTTATGAATGATTTAAAACACTTAAATAAAGCATGTCTTAATGATTACAAGATTATTTGTTCATTAGTATGTAATGATTTCCAAAATAGTTACAAATAACACTTGTTAATGAGTTGTTAATGTTTAGATGATTATTTTTTAATATAAATAAGACATAAGTTAATGTTTTATTAACTAGTAGTCAATGATTTATAAATGATTTATAAGCAAACAGTATTATAAAGTGTTACCAAATATTTTAGTACAGCACTTGCCACTTCTGACTCTTAAATACTATCATCACAGTGCAGTCAATTGTGTTCCCACCAACTTCCAAACAGAATCCAAACAGGATCTAGTTGTTTTCTCGTTTTATGATTTTGTGTTTCTGTGCAGATGACGCAGTCAGTGTTGGAAGTGGAGTTACCTTTGGTCCAGGCACAGCTCCAGAACCTGGACTCTGAACTCAATAAGGCCCAAGAGGTGCTGCAGTGGAACTCAGAAGGTGGAATATGCTGGACATATACCCACACACCAGGGACACAATACAATACAATACAAGGCAAGAGCTCTAGTGTGTGCCGTCTTCTCTGTCTGGTACACACTGGGGTAGTCTTGCACAGTTTTTCCAATGTGATTTTACTGCAAATGAAAAATACAATTCTTGTATATTGTTACACACAATACAATACAATACAATATATTCTTGTATAGCCCTAAATCACAACAGCAGTCATCTCAGAGGACTTCACACAACCATTGAAATCACCAACACAGATCAGAGAATCAACAGTTAAGACACAGAAAAAACACATACTGTATGTATTGCTCCATTGGGAGAGACCAATGTCCATGAATGTTGATAAATGTCCATACATGTTGTAGAATGTTAAAGTGTCCTGGATCAGCACCACAGTCCTTCTTGTTAGACACTAACTGTATAACAGACCCTCCTGCATCAGCAAAGAAAATCTCAAAAACCCAGTGGGAGAAAAGTGAGAAACCTCGGGGAGATCCACATTGACACCACGCTTGGGTCATGTAAAGGAACCTTTCTTTAATTCATTATGAATGATGTGACTTGTGGTGTCTTCATGGAAATTTCTTGTTTGTGTGCAGTCTAAAATCATAACAGCAGTTGTCTCAAGAGACTTTACAGTCAGAGGTTAAACAATAAAATAACGGGCGACCAAGTGGTTGGCACTCTCGCTTCTCAGCAAGAAGGTCCAGGGTTTAACAGGACCAAGATTTTTTTATGAACCCTGTACTGCACAGGTGACCAGTGAAGGGAGGAACGTTGGGTGATTCTCTAATATGCAATTGTCTTGTGGTTGTAGATATCTGGCCTTATATTCTGGAGGTGAGAGACCATGTGTGTGAGCTGGAGGCCCGGCTGCAGAAGAGCAAAGAGAACATAGAAGATATCCAGAGGATTACCCGTGGCTGGGCCAGCCCAGTGTTTGAGCGCAGAGAGGGCAAAAGGGACGCACTCCTGCGCCTGGACGAACAGACAGACAAACTGGAGAACTTTTACAACATGATCCGTGCCTCTGGAGAGAAGATTCTCTTCCTGCTTAAAGTATGACACATTTTTAAAGACCAATTATTAAACAGTAAGGGTCATCACTGTGACCCTTGGTTGTGAGCTACAACCTTTGTTTTGACATTTAATGATTTAGTAGTTAGTATGGGAAATCATCACTGAGATACTTTTTCATGTGTCAGCGGAAATTACATTATTCATATGCAGTAGGCAGCACTGCTCATGAGGTGGACCTTGACCGACTGGTGGGTCCATCGAGGCAAGAGAAAATGCTTCAAGAACCGCTAACATTTGCTTGTAAACTATGAGTCAGAAACCAATAGATGTATCCATACGTATATGCACACATTTTACTGCCACATTTATTTATTTTTTACTTTCCAAAACTGTGCTGTGTGCGAAACGCACACAGCCCAATTATGATCCACATCACTGAAAGCATCATGTGCATGCTGTGTTATTCTACAGTAAACAGTGTAAATTAGGTGTTTAATTATTGCTGTTTATGAAGTTTGTATACATTTAAAAGAGATTCTATGGGAGGCTGTATAGGGCGAAACACAAGTCCATATACAGCTAGCTGAGTTAGCTTGCCAAATGTGATAGCTTTCTGTTTGCACTTCATGACTCATTTCCACCCGTTTACCATCACTATAGTTTTACGTGTGTTACTTTTGTGTCATCCCTCCGTGAGGGATTTCACTTATGACAGCTGAGACTCACTGCTGTTAGTGCAAGAACAACCCCTACAGCAGGCTTGCCCAAACTAAGGCCCTCTGGCCAATTACGGCCCCTTGTGTAATTTTATTTGACCCTCTGCCTTGCTTACTCAAAGTAGCCTTTGAGATCAAGCACACAAGTTCACAGTGTCATCTGTGTTTTTGTGTGTTTGTGATTGCAAATGTGGGACAAAGGATGGAAATTAGCCCATGGCTACAATCCGGAGTGATGTGTTCATTAACATGTACTGTCCCAACCAAATAAACAATAAATAAATAAATAAATCCAACTTCAGCTCCGGCAATAAAGGCACAATGGACCTCATTATACAGCTCCGAACAGCCTGAATCCAGTCAAATCAGTTTTACAATCCAGATGGTGGCCACTGAACAAGCCTGGTGAAAAGCAGAAGTTACAAGTTTATATTTGTATATTTGGACCATAAACACATGTTGTAGTCCTACATGTGTTTATGGTACAGGAAAAAAAAGTATAAAATAGTAATAGAGTCTGGTTGCTTCACAACTAAGACAGAAAGACAAACAATGTGGTTGATGTTGTTCTTGAGGACACTGACTGTAGGCACATACTGCCTCTGCCTGGTGATCCGTGCGGCCCTCTGCTGACCGAGGCTGCTGCCTTTGCGGCCTACATCTAAAATGCCGGAAACACACTGTATGTGGCTCTTCTGTTGGGTGCCTAAATCTCTGAGAGACGACAGATGATTGCTTTTAGGCTTTAAAAGAAACTTGTGGTTTGCAGCCCAGCAAAGCTGAGCGGGGTTAACTCCACTCTGCCGTGGACCATGTTTACTTCAAAAGTTAAAGTACACTGCCTGAGGTTTGGTGTGTTTAGGTCCTCCTTCCAGAAAATTTCTCATCAGAAATCTGTAAGAGGTTTTCACACAATGTTATGTAAAAAAATAAATACTGAAATACTAACATTCCTATTCCATATGAAACAGTTTCAAATGTGATTTTTGCCTTTTACAGAGCAGCTTGCAGCTCCTGGGAGCAGACGAATCGTCAGAGGAGTGGAAAGCTTATTTGGATTACATAGATGACATGATCATGGACGGCTTCTTCCACAGTATCCGGGATTCGCTGCAGTTCCTTCTGGACAACACAGGTACATCTAACAACACAGTCTCACCCTGGAAGCGTCCAGGAGTTTGGTCAATGCATTCTAATGTTCAGACACATGAGGTACTCCCTCATGTCTAATACTCACACCCTGGGTTTTCATTCATCCATGTATTTTGACCTTGCACATCTACACTATGGGTTTAATGCATTTTCTAGAGACACTGCAGGCTTATATTGATCCAATGCAAACTCATAATCCTATTTTACACTCTGATATTCTATTCTCTCATAAATGTAAAGAAAACACATCAGGCAAAGCTGGAATATAACTTTTGTATTATCCTTTTTGTGGATTAATTTGTCTTGGCTCTATTTTCAACTGCAAAATACAAAGTTAAAACAGTAAATGTGTTTTAACACATTTACTGTTTCAACTTTGTATTTGGAGTGTCATAACTATTGTTATTATACGGCTCCTCACAGCAGTAGTAGAATGCTCCATTGATTTGAATGTAATTTCAAAACGTTCTACCGGTCATTATTTTCTATAACGGACCTCTCAAAACAATAATGACCGCTGCCCATGGCAACGCACTCTCTGCTTGTCTTTCAGATGCGTGGATCACTCCGCAATATACGTTATCCCTTACATAAAGATTGTCCTCCGGTGACTTGAATTTGTATGTGAGAAACAATCATATGACTTAATTTCACTACCATAGACTACAAATATAAACAGAAGTAGTCACGCCTATCTCCGCCGTGCCATCACTTTTGGCTTCTCTAGGGATTTTTCAAAATGCCGTGGGCAGCTCCTCCCGCATGAAAATGTGAAAAAACGAATTTGTGCATTGATTAGCTGGCACCAGCCCCATTCATTTAACGAGTGCCTTCTGACACCCACAGAGGCTAAACTAGACTGGTCCAAAAAATTATACTCCCCTCAGCATTGTGGAACGTAGCGTTGAGTCAAGAGCCGCCTTTTGGACCACCCTGTAAAGACATTTTTGAGAGGATAGAAGTCTCTATACAAACGCATTTTATAATCTCTTTCAGGGTCCACCCCCACAGGCCTGGGGTGGGATTGCAAGTATGTCAGCGCATGTGCTTATGGAAGTTTTTGAGGCGGGGACCTGCCCCCACTGGTCACTACGGCTTCCCCAAAACAGACAAAATGTTTGTATATAACAAGAAAAAAATACATTGTAGCAAATGGAGAAGGTTCAGTTGTGGTGAGGATAATCCCAGAACAATGTTCAGGTGACTTTGTTAACCGTGTCCAGTTAATAATCTCAAGTCATAGACTGTGCCCAGATACAGTTGAGGCAACAGGAGGTACCAGAGCCATAGCTGTGGACAATCACAAATTAGACGCTTAGATGCGTCCTGCGATGTTTGAAAGTCAGGGAGGGTGAAGGCTGGCCCAGGTCCATTGGTGAAAAGAGTGTAACAACAATCTAACAGCTGAGAACTATCCAAAGACAAGAAAAGCCACTGCTGTTTAGTGATATCAGTGTCCAACAACAATTGAGGGCTATCTCAAGGCAGGGACAGCCTGATGCTGATGGCGTTGACGGGATAGTCGGAGATGCCTGGTTGGACATTGTTGAGGAGCTCTTTGTCCAGCCTCTCCCATGCCATGGAAAGAGCATCTCTGGGACGTGGGTAAACATGAGCATTTGTGCCCGTGGTTTAGATGGCTGTCACTGTACACACTTGAATGCTTGGGAACCTTTCAGTCCTGGATCTGCAGCCTGTTCATCCATGATAGTTGATACCTCTCTCATCGTGGGCCTAGAATTTTCGCCAACTAGATTTTTTAGTTTTTCCTTACTGATCCAGGAGGGTCGAATGGACAGTGATGATCCAGGACATTTTCTTTTACATTTTCCTCAACTGTAGTGAAACTGCTATACATATTTAAGAGGGGTTCTGTCACCTTGTGTTTAAGCAGACCAGAAGAGCACTGCCCCTCTGATGGAGGTGCTGCTGGATCTGAACGTGCCTGACCTGATCTTCAGTCCGTCACTGGACTACGGAACAGGAGACGGCCTCCTTGATCGGGTGGAGGTCCTCATCAGAAACCTTTTCAGAATGTCTTCCCTTGTGCCCCGTGTGGCAAAGCACTGTGGCATCCCTCATTACCAGGTCAGACATGGAGAAAACACATAAAGCAATCTTTTTAAGCTTTAACCATTGTACAACATTGTTCAGGAATGTATTTCTAGGTCCAGCATGCTTATGTCTAATCAGTACCTCTGCAGACCTCTTCTTTTTAATGCCCCCTTTTTTAGATTGGTCCACAGTTAATAGTTTATGTTCAGTGCTATATATGTACATGGTGGAATTCTGGTTTGTGATATTCCTACAGTGTTGTGCCAGTTCACAACTTTTCTGAACTAGTTCAAGTTCAGTTCATACATGCTCAAAGTGAACAGTTCACGTTCAAAGTTCACATTTTTAATTCTGAACTAGTTCAAAGTTCAGTTCATTTTACTTTTTCGTGAGATACTTAAATACATATTTTTTTCACACTACGAGCTATATATATATATATATATATATATATATATATATATATATATGTGTAGGGTAATAATATTACAGTAAGCTATAAATTTAGTAGTGTGGAGCGGCTAGTCTCCGAATCAGAAACTCGCCATTGCACCAATGGATCTGTCTTATTTATTTTGGGCACCAGTAGACGTTTGAGGGTCTACGACAGACCCAGGGTATTTGCCTCGATACCAGTATCACAAATCTGATGGGTTGAGTACGAAAATCGGCCAGGGATATACCGAAATCTAACAACACGACGCTTAAATGATTGACTTAAAGAAAAGGGGTTTTATTGATTACAAAAATGAAGATAGGAAATATAACGAAGGGGATTTCTGGTCACATTAAAACAGAAGTGGTATGCATCTCATTTGAAACACGCACTAACAAAAGGAACAGTCTTACTTTTGAGGAGCGTAGAGGAGATGTTTGATGGAAAGAGGAGGATGGAGATGGAGGGTGAGAATGAAGAATAGGATGGAGGCGATGTCCTCATCCACGTGGTCTTTGTTCGAACAGGGAGCAGGAGGAGGCCAGCAGATCGGATCCAGGCGTGGGTTCCACACACAACACAGTCTAGAATAGCGTTGCGGTGGGGTGTTCCCGGGAGCGGCAGGCGGTAGAAGGCCCTCGTCTCCGACAGCGAGAGTGGTTGCTGTCCTCGTGGATGTACAGGCCCGAGATGGTGGCGGGCGTAGGCCGTGTAGGGGACACGTACCAAACGGGATGGTTGTTATGGTGATTTCGGGGGAACCAAGAGGCAGTACTATGGCATTGTGGGTGCTTATATTGACTTCCCAGGGGACTTCTCTGTGGACAAACCCTTCACAACAGACATTTTGCAAAGGAAACACACAGGATTGGTGCAAATGATCATAACACATGTACAAACACACACCGCATTTCATTACTTTGACATTGATACACACATGTGGGGCACAATGCAAATTATTGGAGTACTGGACCCAGGGGTGCTGGTTCGCAATTGTCCGTCCCGGGTGTGATAGTGTCCATTGTTCACTAGGGGGCGTCAGAGCGCCGCGGGGGAGTCTTTGATTGTCCGGGGGCAGGAGTCCTGGGAGCGAGAGCAGGGTTGTGATCTTTGATCTCTACAGGCAGGCAGAGACAGAGGTGCTTATCCCCGTGGTGACTTTATTGCTCTGTTTGGCATCTGTAATCCCCATGATCAATGATAGTCCTCCGGCCGACCTCGCTGTTCCTTTGAAGCTGCAGTGGGACGTCTTCCTCCTTTTGGTCGAACGTGTACACAGTCCAGGGCCTGGCTCTGTTTTACGGCCCTGTCCCTTATTTAACCTTACATACCCCCCCCACGGCAGAGATGCACCTTCCGACAAGGTGCATGTCATGTCGGATATGCCGGGCGGGTGTCCTCGGTCGGTCGTCTCGCCTGTTCGGGTGTTAGTGCGTGATTTGTGGTGACATGTTACAACATTCTCGCCTCAATGTGACTCAGCAATTCTCAAGCGCCTAACTGGGGCCAGGCTCGTGGCGGTTGGGTCTCGGGCCTCTGGCTTGGTTTGTCGAGGCCGGGTTTTCTCTAAGGCGAGTCCTGGCCCTGCAGGCTAGTTCTAACCGGGATCAGGGGTTTTAGGGAGTGAGCTCCGGCCGTGAACTCTAAGGTTTGGGCCGGTGCGCCTGACTCCTGGGTCTCTTGGTCTGGAAGACTCAAAGTTCCAAGCCAAGAGAGTAGCAGGAGTTTCTACTTTAGGGGACTAGGATACAAAAATAGGAAACTTCAAAAATCAAAAAAAGGGTGGCTGTCTTGGCAGCGGGTAGGAGCGTCATTAAGGCACTTGAGGGGTTCCCATCTTTGCTCGTTCAAAAGGGGAGTATAAGGGTTACACAAATATATGACGTAGCAAGTGGGGCTTTAATTACGAGGGACATTTCCTGTATATAAACGGGGATGACAGGTATGATTGTCTAGGAGACTGATTAGGTATCGAGGTAGATATGTTTGGATCTGAGTTGGTGACTCTTAGTGGGGTTTTAGGCCCTTGGTTCACCTTCTGTGATAGAAAGAGTGACCGTCTCGAGTGGGTGGCTTTGGAGGTCCTCGTACTCTGATTCGTTGACCTGGGGACGCCGACTTAAATTGCCACGCTCGACGGCGCTGTCGCCCCGGTTTGGTCGTTTACGGATCTGTCTCGTCATTGCCTCCGTGCACCTGTTAAAGCTACCGCGGAGTCGTCTAACCCGTCTATTTAGGACGAAGGCCATGGCTACGGCCAGAATGTCCTCAACTAACGATAGCGGCACGAGGTATGGCGGGATACGGCCCATGGCTGGGTTTTCGATCGAGGAACTGAGGTGACGTAGCATGTCCTCCATCAGTTGGGTGGTCAGCTGAGTATGGGCGTAGTCTAGTTGGAGAACGTCTAAGAGTTGATTGACCGCAGCGGAGGTGCGTTTAATCGCAACCTCGTGCGTGTTAAGTACTAGCGTGGTTCCTTTCAGGGACTTTCCCAAGGTCACCGCGTCGTTCTGTTGTTGATAGAGTCTGGTTTTGACATCCTCGAGTTCAGAGGCCATTTCTTGTTGGTGGCGTCTGAGGGAGGATAGGCTGATGGCGTTTACCGTGGACATCCCTAAGCTAAAGAGGGTGCCCAGGGCGGACGCCGCGCCGAGGAGAGCCCCAATAAATCGTTTGGGTCTGGGGCGAGGGTCGCTGAGCTCTGTCCTAGTGATCGTGAACTTCTCTAGTTGCGTCAGCATGTGTTGTATGTCTGCCTCAGCGTGCTCCACGACCGTCTGGGTCCAGCGTGCACCTGCCCAATCTTTGAGTGTGACCTTCAAGGGCAGGTTCTTGCGGCAGACTTCACTAGGATTGAGTCTGACAAAGATTCGCTGTGTGTGGAGTCGGACGTCCGTGATGAGGAGCCCGGGTTGTTCCTTTAAAACGATCCCGGAGGCTGGTCCGGTCTCGATAATTTCTGGGGTGCCGAGGCGCAGTATGCAGGTCAGCATGAGAAGGAAAGTGGGCCACATGTTCTGCAAGGCGTGAAACAATTGTTAGGGGTTAGACAGAGAGGGAGGAAGAGAGACTCGATTAGTGCAGCCGAGAAGAGTGTTAGTGGGTGCTGGACTAATCGTGTTTGAGGTCACGTGGTGTGTTCCTAACTGGGGTTTGTAGTGTGCCCTGCTTGTCCCATGGGGCTTTGTTTGTGTGGTTTGGTTTGGCTGTAACGGGCCCATCTGAGGGTGGGCTCTCTACCTTTTGTGACCTCGATTTGGTGCACTGCGGTTGAGAGTTTGTTTCCCACCCTGTATGGCCTTGACCAGCGGGGTAGCGATTTCCGGCGTAGTCTGGTGGGGCCGGTCCCCGCGTGTCCTGGGGAGTGTGCCAAGGTGTAATACCATACCTGGTTTTTGACCTGGAGGTGGTCCTGCGGGTCGGTCCTGTATTGGTTTGTCCTCAGGAGCCGGGGGAGTTTCACGTTCTCGTCGCTTCGGTTTGGGGATACGTACCTTAGTATTTCGGTCGCCGTCCGGTCCGTCCTTTCTACCTGTTGTAGTGCCTGACGTGTGTTGTTTATACCTGTTTGTTCCGTGGTAGGTGCGTCATGGGCGTGTGCCAACATTACCCCCCTCATGCTTCGAGGCACCACGAGCACCGACGAAGTGAGTGTATCGGAAGCAGAACCTAACAGCCCATGTCGTATCGGCAGTATGTCTTTATCACGGCCGGAGATTTTAAGCGTCGTGGCGACCATGGCGTTGGAGGGGCGTTCCAGTGTGGGGTCCGCACGTCGGAGGGAGGCGAAGTCCGACCTGTCGAGGTCGGGGGCCGTGCGCGTGGCGTTCGCGCAGGTTGTGGGCGTCCCCTGACCGGTTTCGGTTTGTGCCGCGGCGGGCTGTGGGCCGTTCGCGGGCGGCGCGTCTACGGAGTAGCGGTGGTTTCCGCCCAACGGGCGCGGAGTGGGCAAGGGCTCCCGGACCTGTGTCCAGATCTTTAGATGTTGGTAGTCTATTAGGGGCTTAAATCGATTTAGAAGGTCCTGGCCCAATAGGAGCGGATGCGTGTTGAATGGGGAGATGTAGACCGGGTGGACCAGTGTCATGGGGCCTACGGTCAGTCGCATCAGAGCCATTTTACGTATGGTCGTATCTACCTGGGAATAGGGGTGTATCTCTAAGTCGCATGGCTGCGTTTTTAGGTGTCTGTGGGATTTACTGGCCATAGACTGTAACTTACCGAAGAGGTCTTCGCCAATCAGGCTGATATCGGCAGCTGTGTCCACGAGCGCCTCGTGTTCCCTTCGGTCTTTGAGTGTTACGGGCAGGTAGAGTTTCCCGTAGGTACCTCTTTGTTGTAGATCGCCAATGAATTGGCGGAACGGTGGTTCGCAGTTGGTTGTCGAGGGGCCGTCCTCTCGTGGGTCTGTGATGGAGTCTACCTGTATTACCATGACATCCCTCTGGTCGTAGCAGGTGTCCACCGTTTGTGCGCTTGAGTAGTCATCATTTAGCTCCTGTTCGCTGAGATTGTCGTCCATGTGGTAGGGGGCATTCTCGGCGTCATCCGACACGGACACTGCGAACACGTCGGCGTTGTCTGTCTTCTTCTCTCTGGCTTTGCGCAGGAGCGTGCGGAGGAGGGCTTGTTCCTCCCTAGAAAGGTTGTTCTTATTAATAGTTGTAGCCGTGCGGTCTTGGTGGGGCCGTTGTGGCGCGCGGTCTGTCCCGTCGGCCTGGAATTCGTTCTTCGGGTCCGCGTGTTTGTGGTTATTCCTTTGGGGTCCGTGGTTGGTTCCCCATTTGTGTTTCCGGGCCGTTGGTGCGCCCTCAAGTTCCATGTGGTTTTCCACGCTGTACACCGTAGGCTGGGTTTGGGGCTTTGCCTGTGTCTTGAGCAGATGTTTGCCTTGTGCTCGTGCCACCAGGGTCTTCAGTTGCCGTATGTCCTGTGTAAGGGGGCAGGCGTACACGCCCAGTAGTTGGCTAAGGTTGGGGTGGAGGTTTTGGAGGTACAAGGCCCTGAAATTTGTGTCTTCCTCCATCCCTTCGTAGTTCCGGTTGCCGAAGAAGGCCTGTCGCAACCTGTGGTAGTAGCATTCCGCGAGCTCGTTGTGAGCTTGTTTGACTGCCATGGCTGCCGTGAGGGTCCCGGAGGCGCCGTAGTCTGAGTATTCTGCTAGGATGGCTTTGCAGAGCTCGTTGTAGTCGTGTTTTATAGCCTTTGGTTGCCTTTCGATGAAGTCATTCACCTCTCCATTGGACGTGAGTCTAATCAAGAATATTTTGTCATCTTGGGATGCGTGTGGTATGCGGTTGGCGTGGAAGTCGACGACGCGGAGGTATGACCGGGTGTTTGTAGGCATGCCGGGCCGGGGGTCAAAGCGGGTTATGTGTCTAGCTATGCGGTCGAAGTCGCGGTCGGATGGTCCGAGCGGGTCTCGACCTATCGGGGGCGCGTAACGGGCGTCTCGTCCTCTATAGTCCGGGTAGTACCGTTGCCCTGGGGTCAAGTCCTGGCGTGCGTCCGGGGGGGTGCTGTGGGGTTGTCCTCCATGATTGGGGAGGTCCCCGGCGTTCCCATGGCGGGTCGCTGGCCGTTGTGCCGCAGCATATGCGGGCGGCCCAGGCTCAGGGTACCGTATGTCGTGTGGTCCATGTAGCATGTACTGATGTGGGCCAGGGGGGTCGTTGTAGGGTTGTCCGCCATGTTCAGGGCGGGCCCTTTCGTCCCAATGGCGGTAGTCTGAAACATGTCTCGTATGGACGTCAGGTGGGTCAGAGTCATGGGTCGGGTAGTCATGTTGGCTGCGTCGCATGTCCATGTGTGTTCCCGGAGGGGCGACGTGGGAGTCCCGTCCCTGGTTGAGGTGGTCTCCACCGTCCCAATGGCGGGCTGTTGGCCGTTGTTCGTCGCGGTCCATGGTCAGTCCGTGTGTATGGGTCTGGTGGCCATGCGTTTCGTGTTTAACGTGCCTGTGCGCTGCGACGGGTCCGGCCGGGGGTTGTCTCTCATAGGCGGAGGGGTCCCCGGGGACCCGTGAGCGGTCTGTCACGTGGTACGTCGCCTGGCTCGTCGGTGGGTCGAGTCTGGGGTCAACGTGGTCGATGTGTCTAATGTAGTGTTGAGGGTTGGCTGTAGTTGCGGGCGGTCCCGTTGTATGGTGGGGGTTGCGCGCAACGTGATCGGGTTCGTCATTGACGGACCGTTGGGACCTGTTCCGACTGTTACTGTTGGGTTGTGTATCGTGCCTTTGACCTTGGTTCTGGTCTTTTCCCGTGATGATACTTACCAGTTCGGCCACGCTCCTGCGTTCACTCTCGGACGATGGTCCGCCACGGTCGGAGTGAGGGGAGTGTGCGCCAGAGGCACTGTCTCGGCCGGTTCCGTTCGAAGTAGCGGCCCTGATTCTCGCTGCGCGATCTAGATCCACGGTCGCGCTTGGGATCGTGTTCAGTCCCGGTTGGTGGTTCCTACTTATCTGTTGGATTGGTTCCAAGCGGCTCGCGGCGGACCTTTTAGCTTCCGCTAGTTGCCGTTCCAGTTCACCTACCGTGTCTTGAAGCCTTTGGTTCTGGGCTTCGGAGTCGCGTAAGGTTATTCTGGAGACCGTGGCTAGCTGTCCCAGCCACTGGGTCAGGGTCTTACCTTCAAGTTTCTTCGTTATAGCCTCGGATGCCAATGTGGAGGTGGCATCTAGTAAGTCAGAGGGTGAGCCGTGCTCAAGCATATCGTAGGCCCCTGGGGATAACTTCTCTGTGAAGTCGCGCAGAAGGTTATCCACTACGTCGTGTTCCTCCACGACGCTATCGTGTTCGCTCGGTCGTGGCGAGTTTCCGCCATCGGTTTCCATATTTGTGTGGGTTAGTGTATGCGAGTATGATTTGGAACGTGTGTGCATGACACAGTGGGAGGAGGAAAGGAGGAAAGCAGTGCTATAGAGAGGGTAGTACAGCTGTTTGTGTGGTGGTGCAAACCTTGGTGTGTGTCAAAGCCGTGACTACAGCGTCCTCTCCGTGTGGCGGTGTATGCGAGTGGGCGGCCTAGGACAGGGGCCGGGCGTTAGTACTTCTTCACCTGTGTGTCAGCGAAGAGCGTTGGGGTTAGTGGCGTTGGCGCACGTAGGGTTAGCAGTGGCGCCAGCGGTAGCAGCAGTATTAGGGCGCGGCGTTAATCCGCAGCGGTAGACGCGGCGTAAGAGACGCAGCGTGAGATGCACCTGCGTGGGAGACGCACCTGCGTGAGACGCACCTGCGACGAGACGCACCTGCTTTTTAGGACGCACCTGCGTTTGGGACGCACTTGCGGCGAGACGCACCTGCGCTTAGGGCGCACCTGCGTTTGGGACGCACTTGCGTTTGGGACGCACCTGCGTTTGGGACGCACCTGCGGCGAGACGCACCTGCGTTTAGGACGCACCTGCGTATGGGACGCACTTGCGGTTGGGACGCACTTGCGTTTGGGACGCACTTGCGTTTGGCACGCACCTGCGTTTGGGACGCACCTGCGGCGAGACGCACCTGCGTATGGGACGCACTTGCGTATGGGGCGCACTTGCGTATGGGACGCACTTGCGTATGGGACGCACTTGCGTATGGGACGCACTTGCGTTTGGGACGCACTTGCTTTTGGGACGCACTTGCGTTTGGGACGCACTTGCGTTTGGGACGCACTTGCGTTTGGGACGCACTTGCGTTTGTAACGCACTTGCGTTTGTGACGCACTTGCGTTTGTGACGCACTTGCGTTTGTGACGCACTTGCGTTTGGGGCGCACCTGCGTTTTGGGACGCACCTGCGTTGGCCGCGGCGTAGCTTTAGACGCAGCTCAAGTAAGCAGTAGCAAAAAGGCAGCAGGCTGAGGCAAGGCAATGCAGTTTTGTGTGACACTTGTTTTCAACTCCTGGTGGGTTCCATAACCTGTAGATTCCACTCACGTCATGGGGACTGGTTTTACGTGGTGGGGCCCGAACACCGGACCCCACTGGTCCAAGCTTAATAATCAATGGGTAATGCTTTTCTAACGGTCCTTATGCAGTCTCTGTAAAAATATGGAAAGGACCCCTGGAGGTTTACTTTTCTGAAAAAAGTGTGTTATGTGTCGGAACCCTGGTGGTGGGTTGCGGGATATCAAGGAGGGGCACACTGGGGCAATTTCAGTCCAGCAGGCTGGAGCCAATCATGGAGCAGCACAACAGAGGAAATCAGGTGTCAGGCTAGAAAAAGGTGCAAGTGTGTGGTTCATTAGGCTGCAAGAAATCATGGAGGAGCACACTGAAGCGCACGCTTACAAACCACTGGTAAGTGCTAATTACAAGTCATGACTTCAAATTGTTATATAGAATTATTACAAATTATTTGTTGTGTGTGCAGCTTAGTCAAGAGTCCCTAATTGATGAAGTCGACTCAGATTCTGACGATTTAACTGTCAAGAAGAAACCTGTAAAAAAGTATGGAAAAAGAAAAATCCAAAACACTTTTCTTCAAGACTCGGAAAGTGACGAACCAAAGGCAAATAAGATTGTTATCATGCAGCTGCAAAAGAAGAAAAATGGGGGGCGAGTTTACAGCAAGAGACACTTCTGCCTCTACTGTTCAATGTCCTGCCACAAAATGTCCCGTCATTTGACTAGAAAACATGGAAATGAAAGTGACGTAGCCAGAGCATTGGCTCTACCTGTGAAATCTAAAGCACGTAAACTTCAGTTTGATTTGATCAGGAATAGTGGAAACCGTGAGCACAATTTTGAGGTTTTAAAGGCCGGCATTGGAACTTTAGTCCCAGCTAAACAGCCAAATTGCCCAGTTAAATCCAGTGAGTTTTTGCACTGTATAGACTGTGGGGCATTGCTTAAGCGAAAGTCGCTGTGGAGGCATGTGGCCAGGTGCCGGCTTTCACAGAAAGATGCCCAGGCTAAACCAGGTAGAAGTAGGGTCCAGTCCCTCTGCTCCCTAGCCCAGCCTGTACCGGAGGGCATCAGCAAAAAGCTGTGGTCTTTAATTTCGGCAATGCATCAGGATGAGGTCACGGGTGTTGTCAAAGCAGAAAAGGGGATTCTGAGACTCGGAGAGCACATGTACTTAAAACACGGGCATGATAAGACTAAGCATGATTACATTAGGCAGAAAATGAGAGAAGTTGGTAGGTTAATTAACGAAGCAAAAACTGCAGGGAAACTGAAAAAAAACTAAGGATTTCTTTATTCCTTCCAACTTTAACCATGTGATTGATGCAGTCAGGTCTGTGGCTGGATATGATGAGGAAACAAATCAATACAAGACTCCATCCTTGGCCCTCAAACTCGGCCATAGCCTCAGAAAGCTAGCAGATATTCTTGAATGTGACTCAAAAATGGAGCATTGTGTTGATGAACTATTTATTGAAAACCTCCAACGAAGCCGGCTGCTTTTTGAGAAGAGGTGGGACGTCTGTGTTTCTTCTGCTGCCCTACAGACCCTCCGGCAAGCCAAGTGGAACACTCCGGACCTGCTCCCTCTGACTGAGGACGTTAGAGCCATGCATGCACATATTGAGGTATGTCGACCTGAATATGTGCAAACCCTAATAAGTGAGCCAACGTCTAAGCATTGGTCTAAACTGGCAGTTTTGACTCTTTGTGAGGTAATTATTTTCAATCGAAGAAGGGAAGGTGAGGTTTCAAAGATGCCACTGACAGCCTTTACCTTAAGAAGTAAGACTGGGATCCATTCTGACATTGCTCTGGGACTGTCCCAACTTGAGAAAAAGCTGTGTCAGCATTTTCAACGCATTGAAATTAAAGGGAAAAGAAGTCGGAAAGTGCCGGTTCTTTTGACTCCTGAAATGATTGCTTCGATGGAGCAGCTGGTGGAGAACAGAAGGGCCTGTTCCATCTCTGACCATAACCCATACTTCTTTTCCCGCCCGGGCGCAGACACCCACATCAGGGGATCAGACTCCCTACGCCAGGTAGCCAAAGAATGTGGTGCGGTGCATCCAGAGATGCTATCCTCAACCAAACTTAGAAAGCACATAGCTACTATGTCTACAGTTCTCAATATGAAAGAGAATGAAATGGACATACTAGCCAACTTCCTCGGCCATGACATTCGCATCCACAGGCAATATTACAGACTACCAGAGGGGACACTGGAGCTGGCCAAAATCAGCAAAGTGTTGATGGCCATGGAGCAGGAAAGAGTGACGGAATTCGAAGGAAAGAGCCTCGACCAGATACAAATTGAGCCTGAAGGTAATTCTTGATATTATTAAAATATGTATGATTTTTTTCCCCTAAAGGCCACTTGTATTTTTATTTTCTGTGCGACAGGGAGAGCAGTAGAGATCCTCTCACAAACGGACGGGCTAAAAGAAACTTCAAGCGGAGAACCTTCAACCATTCATCCAGATGCACCCCATGGTAGTGGCAGTGCCCCTTCTGGTAAGTGTACCAGGTGGGGGATTACAGCCAGGCTGCTTGGTCCTAACCCTGGGAGTGTATATTGCTAATATATTTTTATTTCTCTCCCTAGAACGTGTAAGAAAGCCATGGTCTGCATCTGAGGTGAAGGCTGTGGAGAAGACCATGATGCCTTTCATACAGACTGGAAAAGTCCCTGGGAAGTCTCACTGCCTGGCCTGCATTAATGCCTCACCAGATGACCTTAGACATCGGACATGGAGTGGCATTAAATTCTATGTCAAAAATAGAATCACTGCAATTCGAAAAAAAATCTAAAATAAAATTCCTTTAAAATAGTTGTTTGGTTTCTATTGACTGTTTTGTATTACTTAAAGTAGTCCCAGTAAAAAAAGATTATGTCTATGGGTCCCATTCTGAACGGCCCTGTCAAAGGGACCCACCAGGTAACAAAAACGTGTATGTGTGTGTGTGTGTGTGTGTGTGTTACAAGCAAAAGAAAACACTATGTTCTGTTCATTGTGTAGTAATTGTTAAAAAAATATTCCAAACTGGTCTAATATTTTAAAGCGTGCACACACAGGATCTGATGACCGTGAACACATGGAAGTGCAGCTGAAACCCTGCCCCAGAGGATCATGGGTCGCAAGTGTGAGGAGCAGTTTATCAAAGAACAGCAGCGTGTGCTTTATTTACTCACTCCCATTTCTCCTTTTTGTATTTTCTGTTTTGATCTACACCCCGTCCGTCCGTGGGAGTGGATCCTTCTCTCACTGTGGTCCTCCCCGAGGTTTCTCTATTTCTCTCCCACTGGGTAGTGAGTCATTTGTTGCTGATGCAGAAGTGTCTAAGGACATTTATGATCTGGGACATTTATGCACATGTATTCACAAGTATGAATGTTGGTCCTCCTAATTTATTCATCCCACAGTGGGGAAACTTCGGTGTTTGCATCACCAGTTGCAGAACAGTAAGGGCGGGTTTCCACCATGCATGCGTTCACTAAAAATCAGCCTCTTTTTAGTGAATCTGACGTACTGCTGCGATGCTGAAAAACGCAAGGCGTAAGTGGTGGGCACTATCACTTTAGCATAAAGTGATAGATGTTACTTTAAAGTGATAGCAAGCACTAAATACTGGGCAGTTGTATGATTACATCTGTACATGTTAGCAGCATAAAGTGACAGTGGACACATGGTTTTCCACATTCTGACATATGATCACGACTGGATTTCAAATGAAACTACCATTTATTTTCTCAACAGCAGTCGACTCGAAGTGTCGGTTTACACTTAGAAAATCAAACAATTAAAAAGCAGCAAAAACACCTAAATGTCACTGGTCCATGGATAACAGTGTAGAAATGTCAATAAACGTACATAAATGCCCCAGATCAGCCCTGTCCTTCGCCCCTCCTGCATCGATGTGCGTTGCCAGTATCCTCCTGTGGCTACACAATGATATAACAACACAACACTACTACGCACACGCAGCCCAGAGTGTATATTCGAGCCCTCGCGCTTGTTCTTATATCGATTCCGCAAACTCATAACACGGCGGCACTGTGAAGAATGCATATCATTACACTCTATTTTTCTCTGAAGGTCAAAGGTACCCAGCCAACCATGAGTTTCCATTTGATTAGGCGCGGAAACAAGTGGTCCGGGGCATCTACCTGCTGAGCTGCGTGTGATTGCAAACCGTAGCTCAGCCTTGGCTCCCGCGCGGCCACAATACAGCAGACATTTGGCTCGACATAAGCACATTAGGGAGCCACAAACGCAACGAGAAGCAGCCAAAGAGCATAAAGCACACAGCCGGGGTGTAACGGGTCTCTGTGGGGGGCAGAGGGGAGGGAGGGGGGAGGCTTTACCTACCTTGAGAGAGAACTGGTACATGGGGTGGATTTTATTGAGGTCATTCATTATGAAGTACAATAAGGAGGCGCGGGCTGCGGCTGGCCGGTAGTGCTCTCGGGCTTCATTGATTTTGGCCTCTGTCACCTTGGCTTCCTTTACCTGCAGTAAAGAAGCACCGGCAGATCACACACAGGGAACTGGCACAACCGTACTTTTGCCGGAAGATACTGATCCCTGGATTTGGAGAGAAAAATACATTGTTTTGAACATTAATACAGTCTTTTGTAAGCAAATACATGAA